CCAATACACTCAACCTGAATGGCATACACACACCTGGACACAGTATGAATGACCACAGGACTTCACTTCAGCACCTGGATGGACATGCGGTTCACACGTCACACAAGGACAATGATAACACCACTCAGCCAAAACAGCCTCTGCTCACGGACACAATCTCAGCTGAGCCCTGCCCAGAGAGCTCACCACAGACAGACTGTGACATACTGGAACTGCTCCAAGATTCAGCACCCAAGGACGACTTGCTGGAAAACCAGGACAGCATTTTACAGCCTCCAATAACACCAGAGAAACAGCCCCCTCCAGCCTCTACCCTCTCACCAGACACGTTATCCCTATCTCCAGCATCTCCACAGCATCTTCTGTGCTTCTCAGAGAAAATGGAAAAACTGGTGTTTGCTGGAACCAAACTATCTGCAAGCCCCCAGACATCAACCAAAAAACGGCAGGCCCCAAAACCACGAAAGCCTGCGGGCCCAGCTCGCTCTCCGCTTGTGAGAGCTCTTCGGCCTCTGCAAAAACGCCAGGGCCCACACCCTCCTCTATCGGCTCGAGGTGAACCAAAAACAACTGATACCAGCTCTCAGTGATATGTGCCGGGTCCCCGCTATGATAACAGTGACTTTCTCAAATGTTTATAGAACAAACGGGAACCCAGTGTGCCTGTATCTTTCTCTATTGCTGTTCGATTACATGATAGAAAGTCTAAGGCCTTCAAAAGCCGTACAGCAAACCCATCTAATCTGGTGCCTATTACACGCCAAACTAAGACAAAAGTAACAAAAAGTAAAACTGTTAAGTTAGCACTTTTAAACATCCGCTCACTTAAAAATAAATCACTTCTAGTCAATGACTTCATAACCACATACAACCTGGATTTTATGCTTCTAAATGAAACTTGGCTAGAAGACAGCTGCAGTGCAACAGTCCTCAATTAATCATCCCCTCCTAACTTTACTTTTATGAGTGTCTGCAGAGCTGTTAGGAGAGGAGGGGGCTTAGCTGCTCTTTTTAAAGATGTCTATCAATGTAAGCAAACATCATTTGGTAACTACCCCTCTTTTGAATATCTCGGTATTGTGTTAAAAGGTGCCCCACGCATTTTACTTATCATTATTTACAGGCCTCCAAAATACTCTCCAGCCTTTGCTGAGGACTTTACAGAACTGTTATCATCAATTTCCTCAGAGTTTGACTGTTTTGCTATTACTGGAGATTTTAACATTCACATAGATAATGATACAAATATTGCAAAAGAAATCAAAACTGTTTTAAAAACCTTTGATCTGACTCAGCATGTACATGGTCCCACACACAATCGTGGACACACTCTAGATTTACTTATCAGCAAGGGTCTAAACATTTCATCGATCGTTATTAAGGACGAAGCACTGTCTGATCATTTCTGTATTTTCTTTGATATATTGATCTCTCCTGCCATTGAAGCTAGATCTGTCTGTCAAGAAGAGATGCCTAAATGAGAACACTAGTGTGCTATTTATGAAGGCCATATCTTTAAAACCAAGCATATCTGCTGACTCTGTTGATTTTCTCCTTGATTATTTTAACTCAAATGTTAAAGGTGTAATAGATGGTATTGCTCCTGTGAAAGTCAGGAAGAGTGGTAGACAAAAAGCACCTTGGAGAAACTCAATAGCTGTGCAAAATATGAGAAGACAATGCAGAAGAGCAGAGCGCATGTGGCGGAAAACAAAACTTGTAGTCCATTATAACATCTACAAAGACAGCATCCATGCTTTCAATATGGAACTAGGCAAAGCTAGACAGACTTTCTTCTCAAATATTATAAACAGCAACTTAAACAACACACGCACTCTTTTTGCTACTGTAGAAAGACTGACAAACCCCCCCAAGACAGATTCCCAGTGAAATGCTCTCAGACGGCAAGTGCAGTGAGTTTACTTCTTTCTTCTCTGAGAAAATCAATAATATCAGAAAGGTGATCAGCACATCATTGAGCCGCACTGTGGTCAGACAGATCAGACCACAACCTGAGAATGTAGTTACTATGTCTGATTTCAAAGAAATTGATGGCAAAATATTGGAAGAAACCGTATACAGCACCTTAAAACATCAACCTGCGCCCTTGACGCACTTCCCACATCTTTCTTCAAAAGTGTGTTAAACAGTTTAGAAGCAGATCTCCTAAAAGTGGTAAATGCCTCACTTCTTTCTGGTAGTTTTCCAAACTCCCTGAAAACTGCAGTTGTCAAGCCCCTCCTGAAAAAGATCAATCTGGATAAGACCATATTAAGCAACTATAGACCGATCTCAAATCTTCCTTTCATAGGCAAGATCATTGAAAAAGTTGTCTTCAATCAGCTGAACAAATTCTTAAGCTTGAATGGATACTTTGACAATTTTCAATCTGGTTTCCGATCGCATCACAGCACAGAGACAGCTCTCATAAAGATAATAAACGAGATTCGCTTAAATACTGATACAGGGAAATTATCAGTACTGGTACTACTCGACCTCAGTGCTGCATTTGACACTGTCGATCACGACATACTTCTTGACAGGCTGGAAAACTGGGTGGGGCTTTCTGGGACAGTCCTAAAATGGTTCAGGTCATACTTAGAAGGGAGAGGTTATTATGTGAGTATAGGAGACCATAAGTCTGAGTGGACATCCATGACATGCGGAGTCCCTCAAGGCTCAATTCTTGCACCACTCCTGTTCAACCTGTACATGCTCCCAATGAGCCAAATAATGAGAAAGAACCAAATCTCTTACCACAGCTCTGCAGACGACACACAGCTCTACTTAGCCCTATCGCCTAACGACTACAGCCCCATTGACTCCCTGCGCAATGCATTGATGAAGTAAACAGTTGGATGTGCCAAAACTTTCTTCAGTTAAACAAAGACAAAACTGAAGTCATTGCGTTTGGAAGCAAAGATGAAGTTCTCAAGGTGAATGCATACCTTGACGCTAGGGGTCTAACAACTAAAAATCAAGTCAGGAATCTTGGTGTGTCTCTAGAGTCAGACCTTAGTTTCAGTAGTCATGTCAAAGCAATAACTAAATCAGCATACTATCACCTGAAAAATATTTCAAGAATTAGATGCTTTGTTTCAAGTCAAGACTTAGAGAAACTTGTGCATGCTTTTATCACCAGCAGGGTGGATTATTGTAATGGACTCCTCACTGGCCTTCCTAAAAAGACCGTGGGCTAGCCGACGAAACACTGAGGACGGAAGGTGCCCACTTGAAGACCCTAGAGATGTCCCCTACTCGGCTCAATCCAGACGGTTGTCGTGCTGGTCCACTAGGGAGACCACACTGTAGTTGCAGCCGTCGTGTGTGCTGACGCGCCGAGTACACTGCAGCCGTTAGCGCAGGACAGAAGGGGAGTCACACCACCATGTGGAAAGAAGCGTAAATGGATGGAGAAGCATAGTTTACTGTAAAGCTACGTCTTAGTGTTGCTTATCTTGGCGAAAGCCGAGTACAAATCAGCATGAAGTTTTAACATCTACTCTCGTGTAATGGAAATCATAATGAGCACTGTGCCACTGTTCGTCTGACTGTTTTTACTGTACTTTATTTTATTTTTTATTCTAAACTGTTTTAATTATTCTTATTTGTTTTGATTATTTTAATTTCTTCCATGTAAAGCACTTTGAATTACCATTGTGTATGAAATGTGCTATATAAATAAACTTGCCTTGCCTTGCCTTGCCTTGCTAAGCACAAACTCACTTCAAAACAAGAAGTCATTTAGCTTCTTCAGTAAATGTTTCTTGATTTAAGTCACTTTATTGAAGTACCAACCCGTCTTTGCTGCCTGATGTCACGATTTTCCATTGCACGCCTCATTTAATGCGTGCCTCATTTAATGCGTGCCTCATTTAATGTGTTTTGAATAAAAGACTTCATATTTCAAGCAAATTGATGAAAATCAGTCTGTCGTTAAAAAAGGATTAAAACAGGAGCGCTTTAACAGATTTCTCTCAGAGTTCAACACAACAGGTAAGAAGCTTTTCTGAAGCTTTATCAGCAGGTCACAGGGTGTTTTAAGAAAGATATCTAAACATGCTTCAAACGAGACACCTCAACTCAGAACAAATACTATTATTGAGGCTTGTTTTCATATTTCATAAATCTTCTGATGATTACATTGGTTCATTTAGCAGACGCTTCTTACAAATGACGAATGCAAATGTCTAAACATTCTTAAATCAAGATGCTTTTACTGGAAATGCACAATGACACTGAAGTCTTTGAGAAAGGTCATAAATTAAGTAGATAAATGAGGACAAACTAGTTTTCACTTTGAATTAAGTTTCTCTTTTTGACCCTATTGGCATTGGCAGATATTTGTACTTGTTTTAAGCATGAACTCAGAGAACTTGTTTTCTTTATAAAATTATTTTTATTATTATTATTAGAAAACAACTTAAGAATCTTGGGGCATATTCATTTAAAGAGAATTCTGTCTTGTTTTCCAGCACAACTTATCTAAGCGTTCTTAACCCTCTGGTGCTCTTCGCATGTCAGTCAGGAACTTTTTTTGAATGAAATTAATGTACCATATGTTAGATCGATAATGTTTTTTAATATTTTGTATTTTTAGGGGATTTTATGGTATTAAATTATATTTACGCTGTATTTATAATCTATTTATTCACTTTTTGAGCATAGACCTGGAAATTACGTTTCCAGCTTAAACTGTGGAGAATCTTGAATGCTTTAAAGCACAGACTGAAGTTTGATCTCTTTTCAAAGACGACACTCAGCAGATTATTGGTCAAGTGAAACATTTTATTTTATTTAATATATCTAAATTTTTATATGAAATATATATTTTCAAAAACACGTTTCACTCTAAAACAGCAAGAAAATCAAAGCCATAAATCTAAACAAGTTGTTCCAAATTTGATTTTTCTGACCTCATTGGTAGATTTTTAATCTGCTTACTTAGTTTTAGTATTATTTGAGTTCTTAGTTTATCTTATTTGCTGTTGACAGGAGCCATGGACCCGATGCTTCTTCTCGTCCTCATGAGCTGCGGTATATATTGTGTTATAGGTGAGATATACACTATTATACTTTATGTTAGTAGCTCAGGGTATTTTTGCATCCTCATGCAGTAGGTAGAGACCCACGAAATATTTATTGTATTTGCATCTGAATTTTAAATGGCAATTATAACCAAAAATTATATATTTTTCAAGGCACGTTAAATCCCTCTAAAATCTTCTACTTCGTGAATCAATCCAAAGCATTCGACGAGGCTCAGCGATACTGCCGGGACGTTTACACCGATCTGGTGACTCTACGGGACCGGGCAGAAATGGAGGAGCTCTTTGCTCTTGAAGACTTCACGTCCACTGAATCTGCCTGGATTGGACTGAAGTATACGAGTCAACAGCAGTGGCAATGGGCTCTGGCCGATCAAGACTTTTACAAGGAAGGAGAAACGGAATACAGAAACTGGGGGCCAGGAGAACCAACTAACACACCTGGTGAATACTGTTCAGTAATGGATGATCAGGGGAATCTTCGTGACACGACATGTGAGACGGAAAGGAACTTCATATGCTACAATGGTAATGAATTACTGCTATTGCATTTACGTTTATGCTTTTTTGTAGATGGTTATTTTACAGAGCCACTAAAGAGTCATCATGGTGGAGATAAATAAAAGAGATCGGGGGGCATTTTTAAAGACTGAAATAATCTGTAAACTCGCAAAACGTTTGTGTTTTAATGCAAATAACTCAAAAGTTTTGTGTGCGAACACAAAGTTTCTGGAGGGAATGCAAACAATTTGCAGGCAAATGCAAAGTTTCTCATAGGAACGTAAAACATTTGTGAGGGAACGCAAATATGACATATTTGACTTTTGTCCCTTTAGGGGCTCCGTAGGCTGTAGTATTTTTGGTAAAATGTTATCCTATAATCTTTTGGTGCGTCTGAAATCACGTACTGTCTGAGTAGGTTCTATATTACATACTATATATTACCCAGACAGCAACATAGTGTCGGCCCAGATCCGGCACACCGTGTGGAATCCATGTGTACCAGATGTGGGCCGGATCTGCTGTCTGGGTATTTATAGGTAATAATATATTATAATATAATATTGTAACATAATAAACGTTGAATCCATGACATTGTTAGCCTTATGCCCGACCAGTTGATTCCTGCAAATGCAACTTTCTCTTTTTTTATCTCTTAGGTCAGAATAATGAGCAGAAATACATCTTGGTTAATGAGCTAAAGTCATGGAGAGAAGCTCAGAGTTACTGTAGACAGTTTCACACAGATCTGGTGAGCGTCAGGAACCCGGACGAGAACCTTCAGATCCAGAAGCTCATTCCTGCAGAAGTCTCATATATCGGCCTTTACTGGGACGCTTTCGGCTGGTCCGACGGCGACACGTCCTCCTTCAGGAACTGGGACCCTAATCAGCCGGATGGATCGGGAGAATGTGTGGCTCAACAATTACAGGATCTCAGACTGTGGGACGATCAGACGTGCAGCAGTCCCAAACCTTTCTTCTGCTATGAGAGTGAGTGTGTTTTTCCATGTCTGATGTGTAGCTACGCAGAGCCATAAAGATAGAGATAGAGATGAAGACAGTTTCGTGGTTTAAAATTCAGATCATGTTATTATTCAGGTCATGTAAATGTCAGTCAGGTGACACGGTCTGAAATTGGTGTTGTTGTTTTTTGGCATGTTGTTGTCATGCGACATGTGCGCAGTGTTGGGGGAAACTCATTACAAGTAGGCTAACTTGAGTTACATAATCAGAATACTTTTTCAAGACAATACAATATTGTTATGCAATATTGTTATGTAAAACCAATAACATGTTATGTCGAGCTTGAGGTGTAGGCAGGTTTGAATGTGTGCAAGCAAGACTCATTTGGATGACTAGAACAATACAGTGAATAGATCACAGTTTTCTCTGTTTTGGAGCTGTTTCCCTTTCCAATGGTAACTCAACACTGCGTCTGGGATGGACTGCGTTTCCGGTCTCTGAAGCATGTGTGAAAACATTCCAATCTGATTGGCTGGCGACAGTCCGTGACGTCATAAGCAGAGCGCTCGGAAGTAGAGGCACATCATCAGCTTTTTTGTCTTCAGGAGCCGTTATTATAGTTAACGCGTGGTAAAGGAAGGATCATGTAAAATCCAAGCAAGTGTTTTAGGAAGTGTGGGGCTCAGTGTCCCAGGGGTTTGACATCTGAGGACACACATGACCTGTGTGTTTATTGCTAGTGTAACGGAGGCCAGCTAGTAGTTGCTGTGCGAGTAAACCTCACTCCTCTGATCTCAAGAGGTTGCAGTCTTTAGCCTCGTTGTTAGAGCGCCCGACTCCCACGCCGGAGGTTCGAGGCCTGCTCAGAGCGGGGCGAGTGAGGGGTGTTACCGAGGCAAAGCGGAGGCTTCAGTCATAAGCGGATCACAGCTCGAGCTCACCAAGTATTTATGAGAAAGGTTTGCCTCTTTCTCTCGCCTTGATCACGGGCTCGAGCGATTTGCTGGATCTGGTTGATGAAGGTAAGGAAAGTGTGTGTACTATGGCCCTGTCCCAAATGGTACCCTAAACACTTGTGGTCCTCCTTGAGTACGCACTTTCGTGACGTAACGCCACTTTGACTGTCGGGAAGAACATCATGCAGGCTCGGCAAACGTGCGCATCAAGGGCACATATCGACCGCAAACGTGGCGCTCGCGGGCACCCTTCTGAAACCTAAAATGGCAAATATTTTCACCTAGAGGCAGGCATGGTGGAGTGGGTATCGGTTCCCCATAGCGCCTATCCGAGAGAGTTCCTATTCCAAAGGGAACGTCTCAGGTTACAACTGTAATTGTGGTTCCCTGAGAAGCGGAATGAGACACTGCATTATTGTACTTACGGACGCTCCGCTAATGACGTCACGGCCTGTCACCAGCCAATCAGATTGGAGTGTTTTCACACATGCGATGCTTTAGACACTGGTGGCGTCCCCATAGCGTCCATCCATTACTTTGAGAGAACCTTGGCTGATCTGTGATCATTGAGAAAATGTGAACTGTATGTTTCCCACAGTCGCAGTGTTTAAACAGGTTCTGAGATTGGAGCTGGGATCGAATCAGAATCTGAACGATCCTGATGTGAAGGCGACCATCCTCCAGGAGGTGAGAGACACTCGCCTTTATAAATTCATCTTTATTCTTGAACTTAGTCCCTGAACAGATGTTTTTTGTGTGAATGTTGTCTTTGCTATTTTATTGGTGAATCTTTTGTTAACTGCACATGACCCATCTGGACGATTCTCTAAAACGAATCAGACTTCCCGACTCAACACAGCATTTCTAATTGAGAGCTGATTAATTTCAGAGTAGAGTGTTGCTGTTTTCTAACTAACGGCCGGTTTGTTTGTGAAAGTGAATCAGTGCAGTGTTCGTCCAGCACACATGAGTCTGTGTTTGTCTCCTCAGATCCAGCAGAGTCTGATCTCTCAGGGAATGTCAGAGAGCGCAAGCCTGCAGTGGAGACAGCAGCCGGACGGAAACATCTTTCAAGAGAAAGCAGAGTCATAATATCTGTCAAGTCAAGTCATCTTCATTTATATAGCGCTTTTAACAATGTAGATTGTTCCAAAGCGACTTTACAGTGATAATAGGAAATTAAAGTAACAGAGATTGTTTTGGCTTTACAGCAGCTCTAGAATAAAGTTATTTTCCAGTTAAAGTTAGTTTTAATTGATTCACTTCTGTCGCAACGATCATTAGTTATTAACTTAGGGGCCGCTAACACGACACCGCTCTCACAGAAGACTCTTAAGTTCTCTCTACGCAAACTTTAGAAACGCGAACCTGTGAGAACGCTGATGGCGTGCACATGCATATTAAGAGCTCATTCTATAGGGATGCGCGTTTGAATATACACTCACCTAAAGGATTATTAGGAACACCTGTTCAATTTCTCATTAATGCAATTATCTAATCAACCAATCACATGGCAGTTGCTTCAATGCGTTTAGGGGTGTGGTCCTGGTCAAGACAATCTCCTGAACTCCAAACTGAATGTCAGAATGGGAAAGAAAGGTGATTTAAGCAATTTTGAGCGTGGCATGGTTGTTGGTGCCAGACGGGCCGGTCTGAGTATTTCACAATCTGCTCAGTTACTGGGATTTTTACGCACAACCATTTCTAGGGTTTACAAAGAATGGTGTGAAAAGGGAAAAACATCCAGTATGCGGCAGTCCTGTGGGCGAAAATGCCTTGTTGATGCTAGAGGTCAGAGGAGAATGGGCTGACTGATTCAAGCTGATAGAAGAGCAACTTTGACTGAAATAACCACTCGTTACAACCGAGGTATGCAGCAAAGCATTTGTGAAGCCACAACACGCACAACCTTGAGGCGGATGGGCTACAACAGCAGAAAACCCCACCGGGTACCACTCATCTCCACTACAAATAGGAAAAAGAGGCTACAATTTGCAAGAGCTCACTAAAATTGGACAGTTGAAGACTGGAAAAATTTTGCCTGGTCTGATGAGTCTCGATTTCTGTTGAGACATTCAGATGGTAGAGTCAGAATTTGGCGTAAACAGAATGAGAACATGGATCCATCATGCCTTGTTACCACTGTGCAGGCTGGTGGTGGTGGTGTAATGGTGTGGGGGATGTTTTCTTGGCACACTTTAGGCCCCTTAGTGCCAATTGGGCATCGTTTAAATGCCACGGCCTACCTGAGCATTGTTTCTGACCATGTCCATCCCTTTATGGCCACCATGTACCCATCCTCTGATGGCTACTTCCAGCAGGATAATGCAGCATGTCACAAAGCTCGAATCATTTCAAATTGGTTTCTTGAACATGACAATGAGTCACTGTACTAAAATGGCCCCCTCAGTCACCAGATCTCAACCCAATAGAGCATCTTTGGGATGTGGTGGAACGGGAGCTTGTTGCCCTGGATGTGCATCCCACAAATCTCCATCAACTGCAAGATGCTATCCTATCAATATGGGCCAACATTTCTAAAGAATGCTTTCAGCACCTTGTTGAATCAATGCCACGTAGAATTAAGGCAGTTCTGAAGGCGAAAGGGGGTCAAACACAGTATTAAGCCGCGTTTCCACCGCAGGAACTTTCCCCAGGAACTAGGAACTTTGGGGTGGTACTCCGTGTGTTTACACCGCAGGAACCAGGGTCTAAATGAAGTTCCGGGTAAAAATTTCCCCCCCAGAAAGTCCCTGCTGGCGAGGTATTACTTTTTCAGAGTTCAGGAACTTTTGGGGTGGGACTTGTGCGCTGAACATGCTGATTGGTTCTTTTACCCTGTTCTCTCTGCCGGATGGCGCGCGTTCGTCCCATCCATCTCACGGTCATGTCCGCTATAGCTGATAACAAACGTGTTGTCTATCTAGCATTACGAGCTTTCTGAAATGAATACGCTTTGGTATTAGTGTTCGTCTCTTTTCTGCCGTTTTGTTAATTACCTCGTTAGTAAACCAATAGATCGCACACAAAAACAGCACAGCTTGAATCTCCTCAATACTTAAAACTCAAAACAAGTACGCGCAGACTGGGAGGAGCAGTCGCACGCAGTTCAACGTCACCAGACTTCTTCCCGGTACTTTAGTCCACGGTGTAAACGCAGTGAGCAACCGTTCTGGGGCAAAAAAAGTTCCTATGAAAAAAGTTCCTGGGACAAATAGTTCCTGGTAATTGCGGTGGAAACGCGGCTTTAGTATGGTGTTCCTAATAATCCTTTAGGTGAGTATATGTGCACAGGCGTGTAGTCCTTCCCTAAAAAAACCAACCCTCAACAAACTACTTGTCTGGCCTGAAAAAAATTTATAAAAAAGAATTTTATCGCTTCGGCGCAGCTACTCGAATCGGCATTACAGAGGTAAAGGGAAGGAGGCCTTCACAGGGAGAGACTAGAGACACTTCAGGACCTTCAGGTCCTTCATCAGATCTGGAGTGTGTGTGTGTGTGTGTGTGTGTGTGTGTGTGTGTGTGTGTGTGTGTGTGTGTGTGTGTGTGTGTGTGTGTGTGTGTGTGTGTGTGTGTGTGTGTGTGTGTGTGTGTGTGTGTGAGAGTCCAGACGCAGGTCCTTCATCAGATCTGGAGTGTGTGTGTGTGTCCAGAGGCAGGTCCTTCATCAGATCTGGATACCGCCTGGATCCGGCGGACTGTAGTAAACCTCGGGATAACCAGAGACACTAATATTAGCGTAGATGCCATTCTTCTTATGATGTAACGATTACATCAGGATTTATGGGACGTGTTCCCGGTTCCGGCTGACCTAATCTATGCAGCCAACAGAGGTAAAGGGAGAGAGGCCTTCACAGGGAGAGCTGAGTTATAATATCTCTGTCCCACCAGAGCTTCAGATTCTGTCTGTCCACTATAATAAATACTGAAAGCAAAGCAAGAATATCCAGCTGAGAGAGTTTCCTCTGTGCGCTTCAAACTAAATCTCAACCTTAATCTTTCTCTTCCATCAGTACAGTAACCTTGGTGTATCTGGGATTTTTTATTTTTTTTTGTTAAATATGAAAAATATTGTACTGTACTTAACTATTTGTTTATCGGCCAAAATGAATAAATATAGAGTTGTAGTAATAACGTTTGACTTTGGAATGTGATTCTTAAGCAGGGATACACAGACCTGCAGGGGACTAATATATATATTATACACCTATAATAATAAGTCAAAATATTAACATAATTTATGAACAATCATCAACATAATTAATTAATGATTGATTTATTGACCTGTCTATTTAATTTATGAAATATATAACCTATATATTTTTTTAACCTTATTTTATTTCATTTTAAGCTTATTTCTTTTTATGCTTGTTTTATTTTATTTTTTTCATTTTTAGCTTATTTTATTTTAAGCTTAATTTAATTGTTTTTTAGCCTATTTTAATTTAAGCTTATTTTATTTTTAGATTTTTCGTTTTATTTTTAACTTATTTTATTTTATATTGTTTTAAGCATATTTTATTTTAAGCATATTGTATTTATTTATTTAATTTTAAGAGTCACCAGGACACACTGACCTCTGATGGACAGCAGGTGAAAATACAGATGAAACAGAAACAACTGGACAAATTTTAATATAATAAACATGAATGAAATTCGACAACTTTTCGGCAAAAACACAAATGACTTTCTGTCTGTCCTTTGGGTTCAGAAGACTTGTAATGCATGAGTCATATAAACTAATATTATTATTTTGTAATGATTTGATTCTTTAGTGCTAATTGTTTTGTCCTGGCTGAGGCACATTGGTGGTGGTTGAGGAGATTCCCCCTTCTATGGAAAGCGCTTTGAGTGCCTAGAAAAGCGCTATATAAATGTAATGAATTATTATTATTATTATGATGTGTTCAGCTAATGATGCTCATCAGATGTGTTTATTCAAATACAGAAACAGCAAAGGAATTATTCACACAGAGAATCACAATTGTTCAGGATGAGGAGTCATTTAGTGTCTAACAAATATTAATCAAGCTATAATATATTTAAAAATCATAAGTGTACTAGTGTCGATGCGTCATTATAGTATAATTATATTTTAAAATAAATTAAAAAGTGCGACTCCGGTGGGACTCGAACCCACAACCTTTGAATCACTTCACTAGATTCGCCTAGAAGTCCAATGCGCTATCCATTGCGCCACGGAGCCACCTGTTGATCGAGGCAAATATCACACTTATTATTCTTCTCACCGAGACTGTATATCGCTTGAGATGTGTATTTTCTGGGTTTTTGGATCTTAAATGTTTATTCATCTGTAACGTTAGAAATATTAATCTCTTGCTTTAACATATTGCTTTAGATCCGCCTTGTTTGCGTCCAGTCTTGTGTCGCCAGTGCGGGCTGTGATTGGCTGAGACCCTGGTAACGTCACACGGAAACTCCAGGAACATGAAACGGGTCCGATATATGTAACATTCGGTGACATTGTTAACTTCTTAACATAAACAAATAAGTACACTTGAATACGGTAAGTCGCTCTACCGGCGAGGACTTCTGGACGAGCGCGGATTTATAGATCTTCCCGTTGTGTTGACGTGTGTTTGACTGAACCGGTCGGGTTTGTTGAAGGTAAACACATTTGCATTCATATATTGCTCTAAGTCGTTTACCCGTTCCTTTTTGTTGAAAAGTCATCCGTTTCCACGTTATTTGTAATGTAATGTAATATAATGAAGTTTAAACTGGTTTAAAAGTAATACGTTTGAAACATGAAACAGACAGTGTTTATATTTGATTACAATCGACTGTACAATACATATATTAATATGTTTCCGCCGCATAAGAAAAAAAAACTTGCTTTTGTAAATCATATAAATTATGACAGTAGAAATTGTGAATTAAAAAGTATTAATTATGACAATATAAACGTAAAAATGATGACACAAAAAGTAAATTATGACTTAAAAGTTAATTAGTCGAGATTATTATGACATATAGGCTAAATTACGTAAATTTGTTTGAACTTTTATGACAAGTCAATTATGTACACTTAGTGTTAATCATAACACTAATTTGTTTCTCTCATACTTTTTAAGACTTTTTAAACGCTTGTTATCATTTTGACTTATGTCATAATTGTGAAATTTTATGTCGTCATTAAGATTTACCAAAGCATGATTATTGTTTTCTTGAGTGGCAGGAATGGTCTAGACATCAGTATTGTGAGATATTGTTGCTGTATGACGTGTCGTCCTGGTGTAACAGCATGAGTGGCCAGGAGGTGTCGCTGTTGCTCCAGGAGTGTCTGAGGCGCGCAGTCACCGGACCACAGGGAGACACCGACACCGTGACGCTCCCGCACCCCCGCGGTAATGACTTATAACTACCATTATTTATTATTTGAATTATACTAATGTCTAATTAAAACGTCTTCAGATGTATAATACTGATCAGAGAGCAGATCAAACCCACTGACACTTGTTCACTGGTTCTCAGCGACTCCTCATTGACATTTCAAAGTGTTTCGAAACAGTGATGACGTAATGAAGCGCGTTTACTGAATCACGTGACTCCGTTTGAGACACGCTCCGAACCATTGATTCAGAACAAAAGATTCGTAAAGGTTTTGAAGCTTCATGAAGCAGTGTTTTGAAACTGCCATCACTATTTTATAGTGTTTTTATTTATAATGTTGGGGAAGCTACTCTGAAACCTTGGCTTGACTACTCATAAGTTAAAGTAGTTAAACTACAGTCAAACTACCCTTTTAGTTACTATGAAAAAGTAGCTAGCAACATTAAAGCTACTTTTTTTTTTTTACAGTGACATTGTATATTACAAAAAACTTAATAACTGTTAATGAAGAATGTTTTGATTTGGGGTTTAACAAACCAGAATAATCATTTTAAAAAGGCTAGTGTTCGTTGTGAAATACCAACTCACTCCTGACATCCTTTAACAAAACAAAACCCAGAACCATGAAAGACATATTCCTATTAAAGAAGGCTTGACCTTTGACCCTCAGGGCCGTTCCCCGATGACCTGCACACGCTCCTGCAGGAGGCGGCGGACAGAAAGTGGCCGTTCGTGGAGGAGAAATGGCAGTACAAGCAGTCCGTGACGTCCGCGGACAAGATGAACTCGTCGGACCTCGTCGGGAAGCACCTGCCGCAGTTACTGGTGAAAATGGACCCTAGATCCGGCCCAGATCCGGCACACACGTGGACTCAACACGGCCCAGATGTGGGCCGACTCTATGTTGCTGTCACTCATAAGTTAACTTAACCACTTTATTAACCCCACAAGGGGCAATTATATCAGCGCAGTGGCATCACATCATAAACTAAAAAAAACATATTCATATTCCACATATGTGGCCTTTTCGCCTTTCTTCACCTTTGTTGCTTTTGGCTTGCTTAAATCTGAGAGCTGGATCACTCCTCCATAGGCTTCTATTGTAATTGAAACTTGCCGGCCCAGAAAAGTTATTAAAGACATTGTTAAAATAGTCCGAGTGACTACAGTGGCTTAACCTTAAGTTTATCAAGCGACGAGAATACTTTCTGTGCGCTTTCATGTTCCTCTGTGTGAGCCTCGAGTGAGTTCGCGCTCCTGGGGTGTACGACACACACTATTGGCCGCCCAGAGTCCCTCGTTCCTGCGGGGGAAGCGCGGCTCACGCTGCTGTCTGGGGAATAATGCCTGATCCTGCTGTGATTCCAGGTGTTCCTCAGAGACCGCATCACATCTGGCGAGCCGCGGTTGGCCGTCGCCGTCGTGTTTCTGCTCGACCGGCTTCTGTATTGGATGGACGGATCACATGTCCTGCTGAAGATTGCTAAAGCGTTGCACAAACGTTACCCGGACGTTCCCATCGCCCCCCAGGTCATCATTAGACAGGCTCGGGTCTATCTGAACACCGGTGAGCTCATCTCCATTCATGTATTCCCAGAGAACTACAATGTGTCGTTCTGTTAACGTTCCCATTAAGCTTTGAATATGTTCTCCGAACGTTCGATTTCATTTCCGCCTGAAAAAAATTCCGCCATTTTGAATTTTGTCCAAAACCTACTTTTTGCGATCTGGTCCTAGGTTTTTCGCCCGAACGAAACCAAACCAGTGCAGAACGAAATGTAGCTGGCCAGCAGGTGAAAATACAGATCCTGGACAAATTTGAATATAATGGACATGAATGAAATTCGACAACTTTTCGGCAAAAAGACAATTTATGTACTGTCTGTCCTTTGGGTTCAGAAGACTTGTAATGCATGAGTCATATAAACTAATATTATTATTCTCTAATGATATGATTCTTTCGTGATAATCTTTTTTGTTCTGATTAGATCACTGCAAAGAATAACAGGATTTTCAGTTTTGACCGAACTATCCCCCTGATATGTTTAAATCATGCATTTTATTTTTGATTTACGACCGCTAAAGTCTGGCAAAACGTTAGAAGTGGGCGGAGCCACTTTTTTTTTTTACTAAAATGGCTATAACTTGAGAACGAAATGAGATATTTTCACCAAACTTGGTACACACATGTACAAGCTCAATCTGAGGTCACAGTAAAATAAATACGGCGATTGGACACTTGGTGGCGCTATAACATGAAAATAAAAACATGAAAATGGTTAAACCCCCCAACTGTTAGTCCGATAGACTTGAAAATTGGTATGCAGCGTCTTCGTCCAAGGTGCCATGTATATCTATGAGGACATTGGCATATCTCGAAAAACATGGCCGCCATCGGCCAATGAAGTTTGAGCACCTATTAGACAAGTTTAACGGAGGCCGATCGGAACGAAACTTGTCCAAGGTTTTTCACTCAATCTGAATAAAACCAACGCAGTTCAATTCTCTGGACACTGCAGATCAATAATAAATGTTGAACTTTACCCTTTGAGTAGCTTTAATAGGGTAATTTAGAAAATGGGTGTGGCCAAATGCCCACAAAAGCCTATAACTCCTAAACGAAAACTCGGGACTTCACGAAATTAAGTGAGTACATGCGCCATATGGTTCTAAACAAGCATGCAAACATGTAAGGAGATCGGACCATAGGTGGCGCTATAACGGTTAAAAAGCTTTAAAAAACATAAATGTCCTATGGTAAATTGCCATTATTGGCTGTAAATGGTCTTTTCCATCTATGATGTAAGTGGTTACATGCTTGCATAATAAAACGTAATATCTTTTTAAGCATGTGCTTAAAGGCCTTAAACGCTTGAACCCAGTCAATTGCTGCTCACAGTTATATTATCATAATGGGAACATGAACATTTCATTAACCGAAAAAGTAGTAACGCTCCAAAAATGTTTTTCCTTGGTTATGTGAACGTTTACATTGCATTGTATCATTCTTCAAACATTATGGGAATGTTACTTTTGGATGTTCTCTGAACGTTACAAACATCCAACTGCAATGTTTCAAGAAAACACTCATGTATAATGTTTGTGTGCTAATGTTTTGAGAACATTAACTTTGATTGTTGGTGTAACTGGAAGAGCGCTTCATGACGCTGAGAGAACGTTGCCTGTTCGCTGGATTGAGCTCTAACAGATTGTCTGGTTTTGTTGCGACGCAGGTAAACTGCAGAAGGCCGAGTTCATTCTCAGCAGTCTGATCAGCAGTAAAGCTTCAACAGGTACCGTTTGCTTTGGTTCCTCTTCCCCCGATCGCTCCATCTCTGCTGTGTTGCTTCTGAATGCTCTGCTCTCGCTCAGGCTGCTGGCCGTATCAGAAGGCCAGTGACCGCACGCTGGTGCAGGCCGTCAGTCTTCAGGTGCGAGGACAAGTGCTTCAGACACTCGGTGAGCACTCGAGATTAACCTGATCAACACATGATGAACTCCAACTATCTCCTGCAGTGCTTCTGTGTTTTTAAAATAAACATGACAGTAAAGATGTTTATAATGTTACAAAATAAATGCTGCTCTTTTGATCTTTCTATTGATCAAAGAATCCTGAGAAATAAAACGTATCACTATTTCCACAAAAATCGTAACTGTTTCCATCACTGATAATAATCATAAATGTTTCTTGAGCATCAGATCCTCATATTAGAGTGATTTCTGAAGGATCATGTGACACTGAAGACTGGAGTAATGATGCTGAAACTCAGCTTTGATCACAGGAATAAATTACACGTTGCTATATATTCACATAGAGAACAGATGATTTACACTGGAGTAATATTACACTGTTTTACTGTATTTCTGATTAATACACACAGCCTTGGTGAGCAGAAGAGACTCTTTCAGAAACATTAAAAACTTAATGGTAGAGTATAAAGATAACAGTCATATCAAATGATGGTGAAGATGAAGGACTGTGTGAATCATGTTGAACGGGTGTGTGTTACTGTAAAGGTAATGTGTGTGTTTATTGTAGGTCTGTGGCTTGAGGCTGCTGAACTCATATGGGCGTCTCTGATTGGCTTTTACGCTCTTCCACAACCTGATAAAAAGGTCTGGACACAATCTCTGCTTTTGGTCATGAGTGTGTGTGTGAACAGCAGTCATGCTCTTGACTCTGAATCAGTGGCTGTTGTTGTTGTTTCAGGGCATTGGGACGTCCCTCGGGCTCCTGGCCAACACACTGACCTCCATGAACGACAGAGACTTCACTGCGCTTCAGGAAAAGCCCCACATTGACCTGGTAAGAGATGTCCTGAATCGGGTTGTGCGTGTGCTGAGCGTGTCGTCAGATGTTCTCTCTTCTCCAGAGTTTCCTGGGAGAGACTCGGCATCGTCTGCTGTGCGCGGCGCGGGCCGCTAAGATGGCCGTTGTGTTCAGCCAGTACGGGCCTCTGTACGTCCTGACCAATGTGGTGAGTTTCAGCATGAACACCTTTATTCCTCAAACACAGTTGTTTGCCTTTTACTGTCTTAATATGAAGTATTTTATATCCTAATGCACATTTTATACATTTATATATTCATTTTCTTTTACATATATGCGATTTATGAGGTTAAAAAAAGTCCAAACTTTAGAAACTTTAGGTCAGAATTATGACAGTCATAAAAATGATGACGTCAAAATTGACAAAAAAACAATCAATATTATGTGAGAAGTCCAAATTATGACATAGTAAGTCATAATTATGAGATTTAAAGTCAAAATTGACAGTCAAGATTTGAGATAAAAAGTCAAAACTGATAAAATATAGGAATTATGACATACGGAGTCATAAATTATGAGATATATAGTAAAATTGACCATAATTATTATAAAAAATCATAATTATTAGAAGTCAAAATTGAAAAAAAGTCAAAATTATGGTAGTCTTAATTATGTCAAAGTCATAATTGAGATAAAAAGTAAAAATTATGAGACAAAAAGTCGTAATTATGACTGTCATAATTATGACAAAAAGTCATTTAGCTGTCAAAATTTTTTGATTATGTCATAGATCAAAAAGTCTCATAATTATGAGATATAAAGGCAAAATTGACAAAAGGCCAAGATCATGACATAAAAAGTCAAAATTATGACAGTTATTAAGATAAAAAGTTGACAGTATGTCAACAAGTTGACAGTATTTCAATTATAACAGTCATAATTATGAGAAAGTCAAAATATGACATTAAGTCATGATTAAGATAAAAAACCCGTTAAGTTCACTCATTTGCTCTGTTATTATGCTAAATCTGTTCAACAGTCTCAGGGTACGTTTACACGACAATGATATGCTTCAAACGGAGATGTTTTTCCTTTCAGTTTTCCGCGTACAGACGACACCATTGTCAAAACGATCCCCATTCACACGGATCCGCGAAAACAAATAAAAAAACATGTATTCTGCTGCCAGGCCACTAGATGGCGATGAAACACTAGAGACTGAACATGTAATTCACATGTGCTTGACGTCATCATCTCCAAAGATTCTCGTTTTTAAAAATTTGCACTTTGAAACCCGTTTTCAAAACGCCATTGTCGTGTAAACGAACGGCCAAAATGCATAAAAACTTGTACGTTTTTAGTTAAAAAACGGTGTCGTGTAAACAGACCCTCAGTTTCGCATGCTGTTATTCCCGACTTTAACACTAGATGTGTTTTCATTTCCCCCTCCCAATGCTCTTTTGCAGGTCGCCCAGGGCATTTGTTTACTATCCTACAGTTTCTCCAAGAAATGCCCCATGGAGGATCAGCAAACGTACCTGGCTTTGGCCAAGGAGGCCTTTGAGATCGGCTTGTTAACAAAGACTGCAGGAGACGCCGTCACCAGCAAGCTGGAGTTGCACACATTCCTCAAAGCCGCGTATTGCTTAGCCACGACACACCGATGGATTAGCGGCGAATCCGAGACGGTCCTCGCGGCGACCGGCGTCTGTCGGGAAGCCTTGACGTTATTTGTCGAGTATTGTGCACGAGCGGATTCCTCTTTGTGTGCTGAGATCATGGCGAGGATACAGCAGATTAAGTCCTTGTTGAAAGTTGAAACCTTCCGTAATTCCGATGCACGCTCTTTTATTCCCGATAACTACCGTTCAATGGAGTTCGGCGCGGTTTTGTTCGCGCTCAGCGATTTTGACAAGGCGTTGGATGTTTTTGGGAAGCACCACAAGTCGGTTTGTGAGGCGTTCGAGAAAGGCGTTCGAGGCGATCCGTGTTCGACTCATTCTCAATGCATAACAGCATTTCAGACGGACACAGAAGTTCTTCCAACAGCCGATCTTTCGAATCCGCTTTCCTCCAAACAGAATCCATCTAGCAGCGGATCTTTAGTTATAGTTGATCAGGGTTGTGATGAACGAAGCAGTTTTGGATCTTTTGAGGCTCTTGATGGAGGTAAAGAAGCAAATGTCGTCTCTCCAAGCGTTCCAGACAACTTTAGACACAACAAAGGATCCCAAACTCAATCCACACCAAAGCTAGTGCCCGTCTTAACTGAAGGTGTTGAGGATAACGTACCAAATACATCAGGAACCCAAAGGAGAGACCTTCGGAAGAACCTGGAAGCAAGAACGTCTTCGAGTTCCTCGTGGGAACACGTATCGGGATCGTCTCAGAGCGGCGTAGAAACCACAGATGATGATGTGGAGCAAAGCAGATTCGGATCTTATCAGGGTCTTGATGACCATAGCAATGGAAGTCGAGAAGCAAACGTCATCTCTCCAAGCGTTCCCAACACCTTTAGACACAACAAAGGATCCCAAACTCAATCCCAACCAAAGCTAGAGCCCGTCATAACTGAAGATGTTGAAGACAACGCACCGAATACATCAGGAACCCAACGGAGAGACCTTAGGAAGAACCTGGAAGCAAGAACGTCTTCGAGTTCCTTCAGCAGCGGCTCCTCGTGGGAACACGGATCAGGACAATCCCAGAGCGGCGTAGAAACCACAGATGATGATGTGGAGCAAAGCAGATTCGGATCTTATCAGGGTGTTGATGACCATAGCAATGGAAGTCGAGAAGCAATCTCTCCAAGCAATCAAAGTAGCGTTCCCAACAACTTTAGGTACGACAAAGGATCCCAATCTCAATCCCAACCAAACCTAGAGCCCGTCACAACTGAAGACGTTGAGGAGAACCTAACGAATACATCAGGAGCCCAACGGAGAGACTTTCGGAAGAACCTGGAAGCGAGAACGTCTTCGAGTTCCTTTAGCAGCGGCTCCTCATGGGAACGGGTATCGGGACAATCCCAGAGCGGCGTAGAAACCGTGGAAGACCCTGAAGATCCTTCCCATGACGGCAATGAAATCAATAAAGGTGCCAAGTTTGGTGGGAGCACTTCCTCGTTTTCCCTGTGCGATAGCTTCGGATCGCACTCATCTTGGCAAAAACTGTCCGTGAGCCCCGTCGCTAATGTAGAGCGCCTTGAGCTAACGCACAAGAAGAAAGCGTTCCCGCAACAGATTCAGGAAGGCCCAGGAACGACCACCGAGAGCGACCCGTTCGAGGAGCTGGGGTTTGAGCATCTATCGGACTCTGCGGGAGACGACGAGCCGTTGTGCAACGGGTGCTTCAGGAACTGCATCATGGGAAGTGGCGTTCTGACGGGGCGTGACTATCGAGCGCTCTTGGCTGGAGTTTGTGAAAGCTGCCTCGTCCAGCGGCTCCCGAACACCCCGCTGAAACCCCTGGACCGCACGCAGCTGGAGAAGCCCTACGGTAGGTGACACGAGTGTGTGTGTGTGTGATGGGTAGGGTTAGTGTAAGGGGAGAGAATATACAGTTTGTACAGTATAAAAACCATTACGCCTATGGAATGTCCTCAAGAATAGCAAAACAAATGTGTGTGTGAGTGAATCACTCGTGTGAATCTAATTGTATCTTGATTGAATAATTTTTAGATATTTATATTGGAAAACAAGACTTCTGTCTTGTGTTCTGCAGATGCCATCGTCCTGAAGTACTCGAAGGCCTCTGGCCTCTGGATGGGCTGCGAAACCAGCGTCTATATTGGGAAACCGATGGGAGTCAAAGGCAAACAGAGACAAGCCATTGAGCTTCAGTACCTCCACCAGGAGCAGCTTCTCAGCAGGTCAAACACACACACACACACACACAGATCCGTTATCATGGTCGGAAGAGAGAGAGAAAATAAAATATTAAAGTCCCCTACTAATAATACTAATGTACTATAAATTTTTTTTATAGTACATTAGTATTATTGAAATATAAAAATAAAATAAAAATTGTGTATATATATATATATATATATATATATTAATTGACAATATTATTCTTTCAATAGTAATATTTTTTTTATTATTATTTCGATTAATAATGTCTATATGTCTATGTGATCTCATGCCTAACTGTAATATGAATGTAATGCTAATAATCATATTCTCTGCTCAGTTATGTAGGGAAGGAGTACCTGAAGAATAAAGGTCTTCACGCGCACCTGGACGACGTGGAGAGACAGATGACGGCACAATACTACGTCACCGAGTTTAATAAGCGCCTGTATGATAATAACATCACAACCCAGATCTTCTTCATCCCCTCTGAAGTGCTGCTGGTGAGGCTGTATTTTTAAACAGAACCCAACATGATTGATGCATTAGACTGAATGTGTAATAATTAATTATGGTGGCAAATCAGTAGGCAAGTTATTATTATTATTATTAAATTATTTTTATTAGTATTTTGCAGTGCAATAGTTTTATTGGAGTAGTAATATTTAAGTTTATTGATTTAAAAAAAAAATGTTTTGAATAATAATCATCTTAATAATAATTATTTTTAATATTAAATATCAGTTTTTATTTGACCATGCAATAGTATTATTGGAATACTAATATATTTGTTTAAGGAATTTTAATTGTAAAATGCAAATTATAATAATAAAAATAAAAATAATATTAATAATTATTATTATTATTAAATACTTATTGTTTATAATTTAATAGTGTTATTGGAATAGTAATATATTTGTTTATTTTTTTAACTTGTAAAATGCTAATGATAATATTTAAATAAAATTAATAATAATTATTATTATTATTATGAGGCTGTTAAAGTGACTGATGGGATCTGCTTTTGGACCATATATGATACAACCTATATATGATTTTTGTTATTCTATTGTGTATACAGCACATGAAGGACAGTGAGTACTCTGAAGCAGAACTGAAGGCTTCGCACGTGTGTTTCAGGTTCTGGAGTCGCACCGTATCCTGACCTGTTTATCTGCGGAGCCGTTCATGTCCGGGACGTTTGTGAAGCTCACCAACAACGCAAGAGGAAAAGCGGAGAGCGACGCGACCCAGTACGGCATCGCCTTCGGTCATTTCACCTACGAGTTCTCCAGGCGTCAGGAGGTGGTGGTGGATCTGCAAGGTACATCTGAACCTAAAAAACTAATTTATGTGAAGCCCAAAAAACTAATTTATGTTTACCCTAAAAACTAATTTATGTGAACCCTAAAAAACTAATTTATGTGAACCCTAAAAAACTAATTTATGTGAACCCTAAAAAACGAATTTATGTGAACCCTAAAAAAATTATTTGTGAACCCTAAAAAACTAATTTGTGAACCCCAAAAAACGAATTTATGTGAACCCCAAAAAACGAATTTATGGGAACCCCAAAAAACGAATTTATGTGAACCCCAAAAAACTAATTTATGTGAACCCCAAAAAACTAATTTATGTGAACCCTAAAAAACAAATTTGTTTACCCTAAAAAACTAATTTGTGATCCCCAAAAAACGAATTTATGTTTACCCTAAAAAACTAATTTATGTGAACCCTAAAAAACGAATTTATATGAACCCAAAAAAACGAATTTGTGAACCCTAAAAAACTAATTTATGTGAACCCTAAAAAAATAATTTATATGAACCCTAAAAAAATAATTTATGTGAACCCTAAAAAAAATAATTTATATGAACCCTAAAAAACTACTTTATGTGAACCCTAAAAAACTAATTTAAATGAACCCTAAAAAACTAATTTATGTTTACCCTAAAATACAAATTTGTTTACCCTAAAAAACTAATTTGTTTACCCCAAAAAACTAATTTATGTTAACCTTAAAAAACGAATTTGTTTACCCTAAAAAAAAAATGTATGTAAACCCCAAAAAACGTATCTGTTGACCCTAAAAAAAACGTATTTATGTGAACCCTAAAAAACGAATTTGTGAACCCTAAAAAACTCATTTATGTGAACCCCAAAAAACTAATTTGTGAACCCTAAAAAACTAATTTATGTGAACCCCAAAAAACTAATTTATGTGAACCCCAAAAAAATAATTTATGTTTACCCTAAAAACTAATTTATGTGAACCCTAAAAAACTAATTTATGTGAACCCCAAAAAACTAATTTATGTGAACCCCAAAAAACGTATCTGTTGACCCTAAAAAAAACTTATTTATGTGAACCCTAAAAAACTAATTTATGTGAACCCTAAAAAAACGTATTTATGGGCCTGGTTGAGTTAGTTAGTAGTGTGTTAAACTGGCGGTTATGGAAAGGGGCGGGACATTTCCCAAACACACTCGAAGCGCTCAACCAATCACAACACACTGCTCCAGCCGACCAATCAGAGCACAGTGTGCTTTTCAGAAGGAGGGGCTTCATAGAGACAGGAAGTAAACAGAGCGTTACTGACAGACTGGGAAGAGAGGAGCCGCAACAATGGAGAATATGAGGAGAATAATCAACATTCAAGCAGGAAACCTGTTCTAGTAGAGCCTGAAACTACATGTGTAAGAGTGTGTTTGACAAACGTTCCTGTTTTCCCCTCAGGGTGGATCACAGCCAGCGGGAAGGGTTTGACGTATTTGACCGACCCCCAGATTCACTCGCTCAGAAAGCCCAGATCCAGCAACTTCCAGCAGACGGGAATCAACAACTTCATCAAACACCAGCACGGAGACGACTGCAACGAGATCTGCCGCGCCGCCCGGCTCACACACATCACACACAACACACACTATAAGAATACCACACAGTCATGCTTTACAGCTTAATTCTGTTTCATGACAGAAAAGTCATGATCGATGATGCGAACTTCATCAAACATGAGACTAACTCTATTTCTGAATTGCTGAATATAACAAATATAATATAAATACAAATATATACACCCAAATATAAAAGCAAAATGTGTTGTATATATTGCAATATATAGGGAATTACAATGTTGATTCTGTGTGAGAAATGAGGAACTGACTATTATCAGTCAGACCACAATAACCTCTGGACTCAATAAATCCAGTTCCACATTGTGAAATATGTGGGTCGCTCACAATAACAGAGTCATATGACAGTGACATCATTAATGCATCATGTGACTGAACCAGAAGAACTCCATTCCAGAGTTTCACACACACTCCTGAACACACTCCTCCGATGAGATGCTCTCGCTCAAGGTTCAAGATTCAAATAGCTTTATTGGCGTGGTGAAATACATATTTTCATTGCCAAAGCATTACTAACACTATACAATAAACACATAAATTATTAATAATAAAAATGAAAAAATTAAATTTAACATGAAAATAACTCTCTCTCAACTGGAGCTGTGCAGATTTCTCTCTATTTCATCATAGTACACTTTCACATTTTTTTTAAGAAAACACACACACATTCACTCACTCACATACACACTCAGTCACACACTCTCTTACACACACACTCACAATTTTATTAAGAATGAATGAATGAGGCATTTATATAGCGCTTTCATATGCACTACTGTACACCCAAAGCGCTTTACACTCATATCAGGGGTTCTCTCCTCAACCAGCACCAGTGCCACACTGGAATGACACACTCATTCTCGCACACACACTCACTGATGGTGTGGCACACACTCACAAGCATACAAATTTATAATTTAATATAAATTTCGCCACAAGACGGCGCAGTTTCCAACAATAACACAGGCGTACTATATGGGGAGGCTGCAGACCTGGAGCCGGCAGATATACGCCCCTGGCAGTTTTACGCCCCGGCAGTTTTAGGACCCTGTTGTTCCTGATGCGTCCAGTAGAGGGATATACTGCGAAATAACATCATTAAATCGACGCTTACACATTAATAACCCGTCCATAGACTTGACAATTTTGTGTTTTTTGTTCATTTAAATATAAACGTTACAGTGTAGATCTCCACGGATTAAATTTTCTGTAGATATTCAGTTGGGCTTCACTCTCTTCACTCAACCTACAGAAGACTATTTGTTTTTGTGAATTGAAAAATTAAAAATACACATAGTTGGATCAACTATGTGTTATGACAGGTGATGCTATGACCTACTGCAGTTATAGGCCAATTCACCGTAGGTTTTTATATACAGGAGACTGAGTGAAATATGTTTTTGTGAATTTATATAAAGTCACATTTAGATATTAACTATATTTAGCCGATTAGACATGCAGTACCGTGTACTCCTATGGATCCTCGATGAAATATCTGCTGTACTATTCTATTGGTCATCATACAGCTACAAAACAGTGTCCTACACAGCATTTTATGAAGACAAACACAATTTATCCCTTTTCTAAAATTCCATGGGCCATTTAGAAGATATAGACAATATTGTTGTTCACAAAAAAATATTTATTAACACCATTTATGAAATATGATGACTCCCCATGGTTTGCCACTCTTCTTTAACTGTTTTTTTTCTTTAACTGCTCCTGCTCACTGATGAAACATTTAAAAATGAAACATTAAAAAAGTTTAAAAGGACATCCATGGTGAATTTGACCTTGTCCCTGTGTGTGTGTGTGTGTGTATTTCCTTAAGCAAACACACCTTTATGAGATCCAAGTTAAAGAGAACTTGGTAAAGACAGAGTATGATAAAACCCACATTAAGTGCACATACCCTACATTTGAGTCCAGATCAGTAAGCTATTTTAAGAAAAAATGTATATTAAGATATAAATGAGATAATTAGATCATCTCATTTATAAGAAACAACTCAAACCAGAATCTACATTCAAACCATATGGGGAAAGTTTTTAATGTTTTAACGTATTTGAGTGAGTGTGCAGTTTAACTCTTTACCTAGAGAGAGAGAGAGAGAGAGAGAGAGAGAGAGATTTACATACCTATTATAAATGTGTCTTTTGTGTGTTCACACCATAGACTGTAAAAAAAAATCACATATTTCCATTATCTACTGTAATATTGCTCTATAAACCATGTGGAGTATGTTTTAATGCGAGGAGTAAACAGAGTCTTACCAGAAGAGGCCATTCTAAAGACAGGCAACAAAAGAAAATTAAAATTAAAATTAATTTTAAATTGAGTAGAGAAGATAGGGGAAGCTAAACCTACACGTGGTTAGCTAAGTTTAAGCCAGATAGAACAGAAACCTGTCAAAATACATTATAGACCCATCCATTGATATATAAATGAATTGATATCTACCTACCCTAGCTCTATCGAGCTAATCGTTTATAAATAATAAATGTTGCATTATTGCTAAAAAACAATAACTTTAGCAGATTATTTAACATAAAAATGACAGAATCTATTTTTGTCAGATTTTAATTCTAACGATGTTAAACTTGCTTATACGGTATTATTACTTTGTCTTCTGGGCAAGTTTCATCTTCATAAAGACAGAACCATTCAAAGTAATCCTGATTCTAGAATATTCTCCTCTGATATAAAGTTCTTTTTTTTTCTTCCTTTAAGAAAATGTCAGAACCTTTAAACTCAAAGGTTTATAAAACAAATAATATCATTGAGTCTGTTGTAAAGAACCTTACATGTTTTTATATTGACAAAATGTAATATTGCATTGATTTGTGTACCCTAATTCAATCTCTTTTGATGTCCGTTTACCCCCCTTGTTTTTTTTGTTAAACAGATCATTTAATCCGTGCAGATCTACACTATAACGTTTATATTTAAATGAACAAAAAACACAAAATTGTCAAGTCTATGGACGGGTTATTAAGCGTCGATTTAATGATGTTATTTCGCAGTATATCCCTCTACTGGACGCATCAGGAACAACAGGGTCGTAAAACTGCCAGGGGCGTAAAACTGCCAGGGGCGTATATCTGCCGGCTCCAGGCAAGGGGGTAATCCATCGACCGGAAGTTGAAGCCGGCCGGGTGCCGCCATGTTGTAGCAGAACTTCACTTGCGTTAGCATTTCCATTGACTCCCAGTCATTTTGGCGTCACTTTGACAGTGAATAACTTTACATCTGAGGCGTTTAAAGACTCCATTTGTCCATTATTTATTTCTAAAGAAACACGACAATGTATAAAGGGCTCCATTACCTTCTATGTTACATTATGGCCCCGTAGAAACAGATTTAGTAAAAATAGGCTAACGATTGCGTCATAACCACTCGACTCTCTGTCGCACTGTACAGAAGTGACCGTACAGACAGGAGGAGAAGCTCACAGGTGATCGGGGGGACGTCCCGTCAAGGGAGAAGCTCATAGATAATGAGTCCATAAAAGCAACGGGATACTTACTCCTGCTCACTCACGCCAAAGGACTCTTTGCTCAAGTTCCCCGTCTCTGCAAGATTAACATTGGCAGTTTTCACGCACAGCTACTAGAAGATTAACGTCTGTCAGACAGGTTGCTCACGTCATCAAGCTTAGTTTGAGTCGGTTGGAGTCTGCGCGTCAGGAACGGAAGTTCTCAAAAATCGCTAAAAGTGGGCTTCAACTGTCTCAACTGAGTTCCAATGAGATGGCTCTGTCCACTTCTTATACTGTCTATGGCTCCAGGTCTGCAGCCTCCCCCTACTCCAGGCGTAGGTTGATGACGCAGTGATGAGCTGAATGATGGGACTTGCTGTCAAGCTGATGGATCTAATAATGTTTATGGATGAGTGCAAACATTCATGTTTTTTAACATTACAGTGGTATGAAGCAGGTCGCGATTGCTAAACAGACAGATATCACACGCGAGTCCCGCGGATATAAAGGAATAAGGACATTTATTCTACTGAACTACCCGTGAGTGCTGGATTGATCAGTTTATTAGACGAATTAAACTTGTGAGGTAACGCAGCGCTGCTTCACTCGGTCTAACGTTACACTATCACACTAAACGGTATTTAAATGTGTGTTGAAAGTTATAATGTTATACTACGTGTTAGTTCGTTTGCTTTAAAACTAGCAGTGAGCTAGATCAACATTAGAATAACATACTGACCATATTCTAACATTTCATCATGTTGAGCTAACGTTATATAACATTGATTTGTTTTATATTTGCTCACCTGTCTAATAAAGCTGTGAAGCTCTGTCGAGTCCAAGTTAGTCGCGGACGCTAGCTCTCGACATCTCAAACACGCCACGCTGATGTTGATCCTCATTTTAGTTCTCCTTGTTTGTCCCAAAGTCTGCTTGCCATGGATGGTCTACATTAAAGAAGCAAGAACTGTGTGCCGCTAAACGTTACGCACTACGCAGTTGTCCACGTCTGTCGCCATGGTTACGTCATGGCTATGGCAGTACGAGCGGAAACCGAGGATAGCGCGGATATTGCGTCATTGACAGGCGACATTTTTTCCCAGGACGGCCACTTATTTAAAATTGGAATTTCTCTGAAATAAAACATCTTTGGAGACTTTTGGGATATTGTAAGTACACAACTGCAGGAAATATATCACACTGTGCAAGTGATTTTTGGATATTTTATTACAAAATTCTTACATATTGTAGGCCTACCTTTAAGAAGATACACACACTCACACACAGGTATTATGAAACGTATTTTTAAATTCTAGATATAAACATTATTCTAGTTATGCTCATCTCTCTGTTCATCTATAAATAAAATGAAGTAATCGTGATCCAGTAATCACAGGTTAAAACTCGTGGATTGGGTTTGTAATGTAAACATGCTGACAGGGAAAACCCGGCGACTGGATTCCGGACTCTGAACTGAGAGGGAATGAGGAGGTTCAGGATCAGGAGTGTGTTTACAACCGGTTAATACTGCACCCGGCGACTGGACTGCGGCTGTGAATGAGGAAGTTCAGGAGTGTGTGTTAACACTGAGGAAGTTCAGGAGTGTGTGTATACCGAGAGACTCGCGCTGAAGGTCACACTGAAGCTTCTGGTTCATCACGGACATCATGAGGTCTCTTCTTCTCCTGTCTCTGGTTCTGCTGCTGATCTGGACCGGAAGCTGTTCCGCGCAGATACCGAGGCGATGCCGTAAGTGTGTTACTGTAGTTATAATAATAATCATCTGCATAATCATAATAACATGCAACTGCGTGATTCTTATATTCATGTAACGTTAGGCTACTATCTTATTTACGTGGATCACAGGTGCTCTGAAGAGTACACTATGGTACATGTCATGGTTTCATTTCTTAACATTAGTAGAGATAACATGTATTTATTTTTTTATTTATTAAATATTATTAATATCTCTAAAGCATTTATTGATCTCAGTTAATTAATATCAACATTTACTAATGCATTATTATATTGCAGTTAATGTTGTTTTATTTCAATGATGTTTTGCCCTGTACAGTTTTAGTGTTAGTTAACAACAATAACCCTGTTGTGGAAATGTTTAAGTTTGACATGAATATTTACATGTAGTTTATGAATCATAATTAATGAGCGCCTGTAACCTGATCTCGTGACAGCTGAAGTGATGAAGGATATGTTCACATGAGTTATTAATGCTGTATCGCTGCTTTGACAGACACTCCGCCGCTGCTGTCCGGCAGTATGAGCGTGGTGAGTTATTACAGTCACTGATTATGATTATGGTTATGATGATTCTAACATATTATTGACTCAATCAACTCTCAGAAGAAAAGAAGCTATTCAAATACAGAAGCTTGTGTCGCCTCCATCATGGGATCCTTTCATGGATTTAGTTTTAACTAATTAATTGGGTTTTATTCTTTTTATTTATTTATTTCGATTTATGAATTAAACAGCATACTTTATCACTAGAAAATAAAATAACCTTTTAAACATGAAATTATTACACAATCATGCAAGACATTTCTGTTTTATAGAACTCACTGAAGCTCAAGTTACTCATATTCTCAAATATCTAGAAAAATTCATTTCCAATAAATGCTGTTATTTTGAACTTTCTGTTCATTAAATAATCCTGAAAAATAAAATGCATCAGTTTTCACAAAAATCTGAACTGTTTTCAACACTGATAATAATCATAAATGTGTCTTGAGCATCAGATCCTCATATTAGAGTGATTTCTGAAGGATCATGTGACACTGAAGACTGGAGTAATGATGCTGAAACTCAGCTTTGATCACAGGAATAAATTACACTTTACTATATATTCACATAGAGAACAGCTGATTTACACTGGAGTAATATTACACTGTTTTACTGTATTTCTGATCTGATAAACGCTCCCCCCCCCCCCCCCCCCCTCTCTCTCTCTCTCTCTCTCTCTCAGAGCGCTCGGGAAGGCCAGGATTGGGCGTTTGCTAAGTACCGCTACGATGCTTTTGGTCAGCGCATCCGTTTGTGGGAATTTGGAACCGTTGAGAGCAAGTCGTTCCACCTGAACATGCTGTTCCTGTTTCGAGAGGTGAAGCCCGATCACAATGTGGAAGTGCACTGAGGAACTCACGAGAGCAGAACACACACGTGTCGAACACAGAGCTATCACACACTGGCAGAACACTACATTCAGAGACGTAGTTTGTTTGTTTCACGTATTTTAACTTGGACAGTGTCAAATCTATAGAGAATATAGAGAATAATCACATGCGTATTATGTTTTATTATGCAAGCTTGTAACCACTTACATCATAGATGGAAAAGAGCATTTACAGCCAATACTGGCAATTTGCCATAGGACATACATGTTTTCTTTAAAGATTTTTAACATTTTTTGGATCGAGACATCGCATGCCAGTTTTCAAGTCAGTCGGACTTACTGTTGCGTAGCTATTGCCAGTTTTGTGTTTTTTCCCTGTTATAGCGCCACCAAGTGGCCAGTCGCCGCGTCCTTTATCACGCGACCACAGAGCGAGCCCGTACACACGTGCACCAATTTAGGAGAAATCATCTAAATCCGTTCGAGAGTTACAGCCGGTTTAGGAAGAGTGGCCACGCCCTTTTCTAACGTTCTATGTCCCGTCATCAACATAAATGGAAATTTGGCCTTTTTGTTATTGATAATTATTGATATTCAGAGTCCAGAGAAGTTTTCTGCACTGATTTGGTTCCAATCGGTTGAAAAAACGACAACAGTTTCGAAAAAGTAGGGTTTTCATCAAATGAAAGGACACTCGGTTTAGGAGTTCTGAGCGGGTCAGTGGTGTTTCCCGCTAGCGCCCCCGTCAGGCCGGGGAAATACTGCCAGCCTCAAACTCTCCCCAGAGGCGGCCCACATCCCGGGAAAATAAATACAATTATAATAATAATAATAATGATAAAGTTAAATAAGAAATAAAAAGTTAAATGATTTATAATAATAATAATCATGAAGTTATATCAGAATTACAAATTAAGGAATAAAAAATGTAAAATGTATTAAAAAATATTTGTGAAGTTAAATAGGAAATAAAAATTAAGAAATAAAAACTAATTGAATAAAATGATAAATAATCATTAAATTAAATTAAATTAGGGATAAAAAGTTAAATAATAGTAATAATCATGAAATAAGAAATAGAAAGGAATAATAAACATGTGCCGACACTAAATTGATCTCTGGGAACGTCTCTACAAATGGCCAGTTTTAGGGGAGAATGCTGATCCTGGAAACTCCTACAAATGCCCTGAGATTAAAGGACGACTTCTCTGTCAATATTTTACTGAATGGAAAGTCAGAGTATGTGAATAAATGGACAGATCCCACAGATGTGAACTGAAGCGAGAGCGGTGTGTTGTTGATCTGGAGTGACTTAATCTCCTACAGGACAGATTCATTCTCAGCGTCACTGTAATAAACAGGAGGATAACAGAATCAGATATGAGACACACTCTGCTCTCTACAGAAGACATTCACATCAGTTCATTCACTATCTAAAGTTCAGCAGAACTCGTGATCTGAGGAAATATTTACACGCTAATAATGATCAATAATGCACAATAAGGCCTTTCTGTTTACAGTAAACATATAAAGCAATTAAACACACTAGTACTAACATCGGCTACTAAATGATTTTTAGCAAAGTCCATATCTCATATTCTCCTAATGTCTGGTAGCGTTAAACACGGATCACGCGGATGAATATGCATATGCAAATGATATGCAGATGAGGATATAGTAAAGGAGGCGTTGTCAGCTCATATCTGGTTATTTCGGGGTGGAGACGCGTGAACACACTCTTCCTCTGACTGGGGTTATAAAGGGAATATTGTGCAGGTTCTGGCGTACACACGCTTTTATACGTCTGAATATTATTTGGCGTACGCCACGTTTGGGCTTCAGCGCACGTACACTTCTGGTAACGATCCCAAGCACAGTTTTATAATGAGACCCCGGACCCTGTGAAATCCACATGTGCCGGATCTGAGCCGACACTGTGTTGCTGTCTGGGAAAGCATCTCTGTAACAGTTGTGTTCTCATCTGATGGTGTGTGTGTGTCTCTCTCTCTCTCTCTGTGTGTGTGTGTGTGTCTCTCTCTCTCTCTGTGTGTGTCTCTCTCTCTCTCTCTCTCTCTCTCTGTGTGTGTGTGTGTGTGTGTGCTCAGGGTGTGGTGTACTCCATGGACTACAGGAACAGAACCTGTCAGAAGAATCCTCTCCACGCCGCCTTCCACCCGTCCCACATCCCCCGCAACGCCTCTCTGCTGTCCCAGGTGGTTCTGGGAGGCTCGTCGGCGCCGGGAGAGGGGCTGCTGGTCAACACCTGGACCGGAGACGTGCCGCAGACCGGAGGTGACTCGATCTCTGCAAGCTCAGGCTCGGCTCAGCTGACAGCTGAATGAAGTTGAACCTCAACACTATTTCCAGATAACTAAAGTGCATTTAGTACAAAATTAGTTGTTCCAATTTAGCAGAGTTTAAGTTTACAAATTTTGTATACTAAAAGTACAAGCAGGGTATTTATATTAAGTACATAAATATGTGACCCTGGACCACAAAAGCAGTCACACGGGTAGATTTGAGTTTATGCATAATCTGAAAGCTGAATAAATAAGCTTTTCATTGATGTGTGGTTTGTTAGGATAGGAGAATATCTGGCCGAGATACGACTATTAGAACATCGATGCCAGTAAAGAAGCTTTATTTGTTAGAGTGAAACACAGAAGTGCCTTACATAAAAGTGATTAAAAATAATAATCAAGTTAAATAAGAAATAAAAAATTAAGGAATTTTTTAAAAAATGTATTTAAAAAATAAATAAAATAAAAATAATAAACGTGAAATAAAAATTAAGGAATAAAAAATAATTTAAAAAATAAAATGATAAATAATAATCCTGAAGTCAAATGAGAAATAAAAAGTAAGGAATACGAAAATAAAATGTTAACTTCATTTCAGGTCCGTTAAATAATATTAACAGATGCAGCTTTTGATTTGAATTATGGATTAGTGAATGTTGAAATTAACATTAACTGAGATTAATAGTATACACAGTAATAAAGTATTTTTCATTATTAGACAAATGTATTGTTAGGTGAAGTGAAACAACAGCTTAATATCTATTTCCATGCAGAGGTGAACCTTTTCCTGACCAATGCAATCAAGTCTCCTCCTGCATGCGTCCTCAGCTGATGTATGACTGAGGTTATATGTATATCAAACATGTGTACACAGTTTCACAGGAATATGCTCCAGTAGCAGTGTTGTAGACGCGCTGGTCAAAGCTTCACATGTCACAGCTAGTAAAGTGAGTGTGATCTGCAGGTAAATACCTGGCCACGGTGACGGAGTTCGGCTGTATCCCGGTGTCCACGCTTTACCACACGCCAGAGTCCGGCTGGGTCGTCACCACGTGAGTCACGCTTCAGATGATACACACAAACACTACAAATCAGCCGGTGTTTCGGTGCAGCGTGTCATAGTTCAGCCAGGAGAGGAAAGCTCTCTGAGATTAATCTCTCCCACAGGAGTGTCCACAGCTGAGTCTGCATATAGTTATACGGCACAGTTATACAGCACAGTTACACGGCACAGTTACACGGCACAGTTACACGGCACAGTTATACGGCACAGTTATACGGCACAGTTATACGGCACAGTTACACGGCACAGTTACACGGCACAGTTATACGGCACAGTTATACGGCACAGTTACACGGCACAGTTACACGGCACAGTTATACGGCACAGTTATACGGCACAGTTATACGGCACAGTTACACGGCACAGTTACACGGCACAGTTATACGGCACAGTTATACGGCACAGTTATACGGCACAGTTATACGGCACAGTTACCAGCACAGTTATACGGCACAGTTACACGGCACAGTTACACGGCACAGTTACACGGCAGTTATACGGCACAGTTACACGGTACAGTTACACGGCACAGTTACACGGCAGTTACCTGCACAGTTATACGGCACAGTTACCTGCACAGTTACACGGCACAGCTATACGGCACAGTTACACGGCACAGTTACCAGCACAGTTATACGGCACAGTTATACGGCACAGTTATACGGCACAGTTATACGGCAGAGTTACACGGCACAGTTACACGGTACAGTTACACGGCAGTTATACGGCACAGTTACACGTTACAGTTACACGGCACAGTTATACGGCACAGTTACACGGCACAGTTACACGGCAGTTATACGGCACAGTTACACGGCACAGCTATACGGCACAGTTACACGGCACAGTTATACGGCACAGTTACCAGCACAGTTATACGGCACAGTTACCAGCACAGTTACACGGCACAGTTATACGGCACAGCTATACGGCACAGTTATACGGCACAGTTATACGGCACAGTTACACGGCACAGCTATACGGCACAGTTATACGGCACAGTTATACGGCACAGTTATACGGCACAGTTATACGGAACAGTTATACGGCACAGTTACACGGCACAGTTACACGGCACAGTTACACGGCACAGTTACACGGCACAGTTACACGGCACAGTTATACGGCACAGTTACACGGCACAGTTATACGGCACAGTTATACGGCACAGTTACACGGCACAGTTATACGGCACAGCTATACGGCACAGTTATACGGCACAGTTATACGGCACAGTTATACGGCACAGTTATACGGAACAGTTATACGGCACAGTTACACGGCACAGTTATACGGCACAGTTATACAGCACAGTTATACGGCAGTTATACGGGACAGTTATACGGCACAGTTACACGGCAGTTATACGGGACAGTTATACGGCACAGTTATACGGCACAGCTATACGGCACAGTTATACGGAACAGTTATACGGCACAGTTATACGGCACAGTTATACGGCACAGTTATACGGCACAGTTACACGGCACAGCTATACGGCACAGTTATACGGCACAGTTATACGGCACAGTTATACGGCACAGTTATACGGCACAGTTATACGGCACAGTTATACGGCACAGTTACACGGCAGTTATACGGGACAGTTATACGGCACAGTTACACGGCACAGTTATACGGCACAGTTATACGGCAGTTATACAGCACAGTTATACGGCACAGCTATACGGCACAGCTATACGGCACAGTTATACGGCACAGTTATACGGCACAGTTATACGGCAGTTATACAGCACAGTTATACGGCACAGCTTTACGGCACAGCTATACGGCACAGTTATACGGCACAGTTATACGGCACAGTTATACGGCACAGCTATACGGCACAGTTATACGGCACAGTTATACGGCAGTTATACAGCACAGTTATACAGCACAGTTATACGGCACAGCTATACGGCACAGCTATACGGCACAGTTATACGGCACAGTTATACGGCAGTTATACAGCACAGTTATACGGCACAGCTTTACGGCACAGCTATACGGCACAGTTATACGGCACAGTTATACGGCACAGTTATACGGCACAGTTATACGGCAGTTATACAGCACAGTTATACGGCACAGCTTTACGGCACAGCTATACGGCACAGTTATACGGTACAGTTACACGGCACAGTTACACGGCACAGTTACACGGCACAGTTATACGGCATAGTTACACGGCACAGTTACACGGCACAGTTACACGGCACAGTTACACGGCAGTTATACGGTACAGTTATACGGCAGTTATACGGTACAGTTATGCGGCACAGTTATACGGCATAGTTACACGGCACAGTTACACGGCACAGTTATACGGCATAGTTACACGGCACAGTTATACGGCATAGTTACACGGCACAGTTACACGGCACAGTTACACGGCACAGTTACACGGCAGTTATACGGCACAGTTATACGGCAGTTATACGGTACAGTTATACGGCACAGTTATACGGCACAGTTACACGGCAGTTATACGGTACAGTTACACGGCAGTTATACGGTACAGTTATGCGGCACAGTTATACGGCACAGTTATACGGCACAGTTATACGGCACAGTTACACGGCAGTTATACGGTACAGTTATACGGCAGTTATACGGTACAGTTATGCGGCACAGTTATACGGCACAGTTATACGGCAGTTATACGGCACAGTTATACGGCACAGTTATACGGCACAGTTACACGGCAGTTATACGGTACAGTTACACGGCAGTTATACGGTACAGTTATGCGGCACAGTTATACGGCAGTTATACGGCACAGTTATACGGCACAGTTATACGGCACAGTTATACGGCACAGTTACACGGCAGTTATACGGCACAGTTACACGGCAGTTATACGGTACAGTTATGCGGCACAGTTATACGGCACAGTTATACGGCAGTTATACGGCACAGTTATACGGCACAGTTATACGGCACAGTTACACAGCAGTTATACGGTACAGTTATGCGGCACAGTTACACGGCAGTTATACGGTACAGTTATGCGGCACAGTTATACGGCACAGTTATACGGCACAGTTATACGGCACAGTTATACGGCACAGTTACACGGCAGTTATACGGTACAGTTATGCGGCACAGTTATACGGCACAGTTATACGGCAGTTATACGGCACAGTTATACGGCACAGTTATACAGCACAGTTATACAGCACAGTTATACAGCACAGTTATACAGCACAGTTATACGGCACAGTTATACGGCACAGTTATACGGCACAGTTATACGGCAGTTATACGGCACAGTTATACGGCACAGTTACACAGCAGTTATACGGTACAGTTATGCGGCACAGTTATACGGCACAGTTATACGGCACAGTTATACGGCACAGTTATACGGCACAGTTATACAGCACAGTTATACAGCACAGTTATACGGCACAGTTACACGGCACAGTTACACGGCACAGTTACACGGCACAGGGAACATCTGAATCAAAACCCAGCCCTAGTTACATACAATTTTTTTATTTTTTTTTATTAATAAAAACATATACAAAACATGCAACCGGTTAAAAACATTTACACACCATTTATTTACTTTGAAGATTACTTAACAGAATGTTAAATTGACAACAAGATCTCAGTGTAATACTGCCGGTAGTGTGACTGAGGCGTGATAACACACACTCACAGTGCTAAACGTGTGTGCTCCAGCTACTTCAACGGCGTGACGGGGGTGGAGGACCCGGAGCAGTTCATCCCTCCTGCGTTCTGCGACGCCGCCGAGACCGAGGAGGAGGAGCTCGACTTCTTCAGCGGATTCTCATGGCTGTAGCGGCTTCATCTGTCCTGAAGGGTCTTCATCTCTCCTGAAGGGTCTTCATCACTCCTGAAGGGTCTTCATCTCTCCTGAAGGGTCTTCATCACTCCTGAAGGGTCTTCATCTCTCCTGAAGTGTCTTCATCGCTCCTGAAGGGTCTTCATCACTCCTGAAGGGTCTTCATGCCTTGTGTGCTCGTGTCTTTTCAAATGCTGATTCATCCACGATTCATGTCAATCAAAAGCACTTTAATCATTTAAAAAAAGGGAAAATAAAGGTTTTATCTTTCAGTATCGTCTTGCTTTGTCTCTCTGACTTTACAGCAGTGTAATGCAGGTTATCCTAAAGTCCCTGTGGTGATATACAGCTTTTACTGTTGTTTATGTGTCTATGTGGTGTTTTTAATGCGCTTTAACACAAACCGTGTGTAACTTCATAAGTCGACAGCATTGCTGAGTATTTCCTCCTGAAAGGGTCATCGGATGCTGAATTCACTTGTATATGGTGTTTGCACATAAACGTGTGCTTGCAGTGTGTGGACACACAACCATCATACAATGAAGACCCATTCTTCACTTGAAACCCATTCACGCTTTTTAAAAAAAAAATCAAAAAGCCTAAACACTCAATCAAGCCGTTTCGGATTTTCTGAGCAATATATATATATATATATATATATATTTTTTACATTTATGCATTTGACAGACGCTTTTGTCCAAATTCATTGCATTTCAAGATACACATTTACATTCTTATCAGTTCTTGCTTTCCCTGGGAATCGAACCCATGACCTTGGCGTTGCAAGCACCCACAGAAGAGAGGGGCTTTTCAGAAGTTTGTGTTTTCAGGCACTCAAAACGCCGTTGTCTTGTAAAAAATGGCCATTAAAAAGTTATACGTTTTTAGTTGAAAATGGTGTCGTGTAAACAGCCCCTTAATCTCACACACACACACACACACTCCCAAAAATATAAACTAATGTACACAAATAGTAGAGAATGTAAATATAAAGAGCAAATAAATAAATAATAATAATAAGCATTTATGTTATGTGGCATTTAGAGCATCGGATAAAAACTGTTTTTGAAAGGATCTGTAATGATTAAATAAAGGATTCAGTCGCTCTAAACCCCGCCTTTCTGAGAGCTGCTCTGCTCTGATTGGTCAGATGGCCCAGTATGTTGTGATTGGTCTACTCTGCGATGGTTCTGCTTCTAACCGTTTGAACAGAAAGCAGTGATGGGTCATTCATTAACGATTCGCTCATCGCGTCTGTCACGTGACAAATGAACGAAAGACTCGGAAGGTAAAGTAATTATTTATGTTCCCTGTCAATTATTTTTGACTGCATTATTTCTCAATTTAGAATATGATCAGGATTGCGTAGGTGGATGTGTTCGGGGACTTTGCCTGTTAAAAGTGTAACATTTAAAGCCACTTGAATGAACAAAATGACTCGAAAAAAAGTTTAGTTCATTTTGACGAACGGGATCGAACAAGAGAGTCAGTAGAATGACCCGAACTAACACTAACAGACAGTGGCTGGGTCAGGGTTAGGCGTCTTTAGATATGTCTGAGAGAGCTCATAGCATCATTTTACAATTTTTTTACAAGAAAGAGTTTTTAAAAAAAGAAAGTCAAACACTAAAATACTATTTTCCCATCTTTATTGCAGTCGTCTCCATCAAGAAACATGTGAAATATGCATAAACTATTAAAAACATTGAGGCAAGTGAATAAGTGTAAATCAGCCAGAGATCATGTTATAGTGATGCGAAAGCGTGACTGAAAACACACTTCTGAGTGAACAGTTGTGATCTCTCGAATCTGACGAAGCGCTGATACACGAGTGTGTTAGCTAAACTAGCATTAGCTTCCCGCAGAAACCTATGATTTCCTACAGTACTAGTGTAAGTATATAATCAAGCCTTTAATCAAAACATGACAAACACACACGTGAAATGTGACACCAGTTTCTAAACGATTAGACTAATTAGGAAACCGAAGCATGATGTAAAAACTTTGCAAGCTTTGAGTTCAGGGAGTTTTATGACGGGTTCATGCGGAAGCTCGTTCCTGCCACTCAATCACACAGGATTCATCTGGTGAGATAATAAGTGTCTATTACTTTAATTCCTCCCTCTGGCTGCCCTTGATGAGAGGCAAAGCAGAAACACAACTGTGGGTGAACGGCTTCTTGAGGAGTCATCTTTGGCTCGGTCAGTCTGAGAGCCTGATTGGTTCCTGAGGCGGCGTGAGCGTGTGATTGGCTGAGCTTGTGTTTATGTAATGAGGAGGCAGTGTGTGTGTGTGTGTTTATGTCAAGAGGAGGCGGTGTGTGTGTGTGTGTGTGTGTGTGCTCATGTCATGAGGAGCCGGTGCACACACTGCAGCTGATGCTGAGACAGCACGAGGGAGTGTGTGTGTGTGTGTGTGTGTGCTCATGTCATGAGGAGCCGGTGCACACACTGCAGCTGATGCTGAGACAGCACGAGGGAGAGTGTGTGTGTGTGTGTGTGTGTGTGTGAGTGTGTGCTCATGTCATGAGGAGCCGGTGCACACACACTGCAGCTGATGCTGAGACAGCACGAGGGAGTGTGTGTGTGTGTGTGTGTGTGTGTGAGTGTGTGTGTGTGTGAGTGAGTGTATGTGTGTGTGTGTGTGTGTGTGTGTGTGTGTGTGTGCTCATGTCATGAGGAGCCGGTGCACACACTGCAGCTGATGCTGAGACAGCACGAGGGAGGGAGTGTGTGTGTGTGTGTGTGTGTGTGTGTGTGTGTGTGTGTGTGTGTGTGTTCATGTCATGAGGAGCCGGTGCACACACTGCAGCTGATGCTGAGACAGCACGAGGGAGTGTGTGTGTGTGTGTGTGTGTGTGTGCTCATGTCATGAGGAGCCGGTGCACACACTGCAGCTGATGCTGAGACAGCACGAGGGAGTGTGTGTGTGTGTGTGTGCTCATGTCATGAGGAGCCGGTGCACACACTGCAGCTGATGCTGAGACAGCACGAGGGAGAGTGTGTGTGTGTGTGTGTGTGTGTGTGAGTGTGTGCTCATGTCATGAGGAGCCGGTGCACACACACTGCAGCTGATGCTGAGACAGCACGAGGGAGTGTGTGTGTGTGTGTGTGTGTGAGTGTGTGTGTGTGTGAGTGAGTGTATGTGTGTGTGTGTGTGTGTGTGTGTGTGTGTGTGTGCTCATGTCATGAGGAGCCGGTGCACACACTGCAGCTGATGCTGAGACAGCACGAGGGAGGGAGTGTGTGTGTGTGTGTGTGTGTGTGTGTGTGTGTGTGTGTGTGTGTGTGTGTGTGTGTGTGTGTGTGTGTGTGTGTGTTCATGTCATGAGGAGCCGGTGCACACACTGCAGCTGATGCTGAGACAGCACGAGGGAGGGAGTGTGTGTGTGTGTGTGTGTGTGTGTGTGTGTGTGTGTGTGTGTGTGTGTGTTCATGTCATGAGGAGCCGGTGCACACACTGCAGCTGATGCTGAGACAGCACGAGGGAGGGAGTGTGTGTGTGTGTGTGTGTGTGTGTGTGTGTGTGTGTGTGTGTGTGTGTGTGTGTGTGTGTGTGTGTGTGTGCTCATGTCATGAGGAGCCGGTGCACACACTGCAGCTGATGCTGAGACAGCACGAGGGAGTGTGTTTGCTCCTGACCGCGAGCGCAGGGGATCATCACCTTCCCCACCAGCAGCGATCCGCTCTTCTGCTCCTCTTTCGCCTGAGAGAGGATCATGGGAAGGTTAATGAGAGAGGATCATGGGAAGGTTCATACACTGATGTGTGTGGTGTGTGTGAGTGCTCTGACCTTGACGAACGAGGGTGACGGGAAGGTGGCGAAGTCTGACGGCACACGCGCTCCGGGCCGCTGAGACACCACGTGCTGCGACACCTCAGCCTGGAACACACACACACACACACACACACACGATGGGGGAAGCGCTGACACACACCTGTGAGTGATCATCACACACACACACCATCACACTCACCTTCAGCTTATCCAGCGCTTCGCTGACAGAATTCAGTCTGGCCGTCTGTTCCAGCAACTGAGCGCTCGCACTCGCTGCACACACACACACACACACATTTATCAAACATTTTTGTTACAGAAGATTCTATGTCAAATAAATGCTGTTCTTTTGAACTTTCTCTTCATCAAAGAATCGCCTCAGTTACGCATGTAACCCTCCTTCCCTGAAGTACGGCGATGAGCATCATTACTCCAGGCTTCAGCAGCAGGTGCGAGCAATCATATCCACAGCTGCTCTGCCTCACACATATACTGTATATATAACGAGCAGCAGGTGCGACTGTACTTCAGCCTGTCGCTCAGGAGCCGAGCTTTGGTGTGGAGGAGCTGTGGCGTCTCCGTTCCCTCCTTCAGGGAACAAGGGTTGCATACGTAACCGAGGCGTTCCCTTTCAGTCGTGCACTCTCGATACGTTGATGACGACTGAGAGAATCCCTGCCCTCTTCCAGAGCCCTGTGTCACAGAGCTCAGATTCTACAGGACATTCAGAGGATTGAAGTTCCGTTTCCCTCAGAAACACCAACACAACATAACATCCGTTACTGTCCCGTGGTAACCCAAACAGTGGGATTACTGGATAGCACTGGGAAAGCGGGCCCTTCCCGCTGCGGAGGAGGAGTTATGTGGAGATGTGCATAGGACCAACCCCGTAGGGCTGCATAGGGAAAGACACAAGCTTCCGTTTAGTTACAGGATTCTCAAGGACTCGGCGGAGTATCCGATGGTGACGGAGGACTCAGGGTAACATTTTAAGCATTTGGCAGACGCTTTTATCCAAAGCAACTTACATTGCATTTTAAGATACACATTTTAAATTCTTATCAGTTCTTGGTTTCCCTGGGAATCGAACCCATGACCTTGGCGTTGCAAGCGCTAACGCTCTACTGTTTGAGCTACAGGGAAGCTTTATAGGAAAGCTTTACCCGTAGGAACTCTCTGGAGCAATAGCGCATGTCTTAGCGCAGCAAGCCGACACAAGCCGGTCCACTCAGTGTCTTCTACCCGTGTGAGGCGAGAACACAGGAGACCGGCTCTACACGAAGGCTATAGTATCTAGCGGACGTGTTAGGTGTCGCCCACCTCTACAGTGATCTGCTAGCTGGGCGCCACGAGCCAGCGCCCAGGAGGAGGGAAGGCACGCCCTGTGCTGGAGACAGCCTGTCCCTTCTGCTGGCCTCCGTAACAGATGAAGAGCTGTGCGAGACATGCGCTTCGCCATTAACATCTGACCGATAGTCTGTGAAGGCTCTGATTCGGGACACGCAGGTCCAAGATTGGCCTAACCCACCGCCTTTCTTCAATGAAGCAGGGGCTGTAAAACCCCGACCTCATATCGGCTGGAGGGACCAGGAATAGCGTTCGCCAGGAGGACTGCGATCTCCGCTCGCAAGACATGGGCATCTGACGAGCTCACAGATGGGAGCCGGGCGAACTGAATTGCATAGCCGAGCCTGAAGGTCCGATGAGCCAGCGAGAGGGGCTGGGAAGCGCTAGCCAGGCTCCCGGCGGCCGGTCCAGCGGGACCGCAGCGGGGCAGCGAGGGGCACACAGGGACCGGCTCGAGGGCTTCTGTGTCTGAGTGTGCAACAACTGACCCACGGTTGGGCCGAGGGTGCGTGAGGAGGTCTGGAGACTGGAGCCCGCTGGCGACGGAGGAGGATGGAGGGAGGGGGAGGGAGGGAGTGAAGCTTGTCTCTTCATCTCCCGAAAGGCAACTTACCCCAACTCCAAGTCGCCCATATTAGGGCTGTTAGCCTTACGTTTGCCGCTTGGTTTAGCGGGCTGGGACACAGGGGAATTCAGGAACCGAGGCTTGTCGGCATCCCGCATGTCAGCCACAGGTGGCGCTCCTGGACCACCAGCGCGGATATCGCACAGCCCAGAGACCGCGCCGTCAGCTTCGCGAGTGCCTTGGCCTGGTAAACCTGCAACAACGCCACAGCGTGTACGGCAGAGGCCGCTTCCCCACAAGCCAGAGAAGCCTTGCGGGTCCGAGCCGACGAGTACGAGCCCCCTTAGCGGCCCACCATCGAGGGGAGTGAGCGGGGAGTTACCAAGCCGGTTTCAGGCAGTGAAAGGTGTCGTCCACGAATTTGTAAGATCATCATGCACTTCCGGGAAGAAAGGCATGAGAACCAGCACGACCCGACCCCAGAAACCAATTGTCTGGCCTCGATGGTTCGGGACACACGAGCCCGGCACTCTCGGCGGCCCGCGGCAGACACGGACTGCCCCCGTTGGGCACTCTTCAGAAGAGCTCGGCTCCTCAGCGACAGGCAGAAGTGCAGTCGCACCTGCTGCTCGTTATTTATACAGTATATATATATATGTGTGTGTGAGGCAGAGCAGCTGTTGATATGCAAATGATTGCACGCCAATGTGCATTGGCTCGTTTGACTAGATTGGCTCTCTAGCGAGATTCCCTCAGTCGTTCGAGTGTACGACTGAACGGGAACCTGAAAAATTAAATGCATCACCACTGTGAAAAATTCAACACAAATATGAAGCTGTTTTCAACATTGATAACAATTTATAATAATAAATGTTTCTTGAGCATCAAATCATCATATCAGAGTGATTTCTGAAGGATCATGTGACACTGAAGACTGGAGTAATGATGCTGAAAATTCAGCTTAGAAAAAATACACATAAAAATACATGTAAAAACGGTAAGACCTAGACAGACAGATAGATGACCTGAGCTCTTGCCGCTGATGTCCACCACTTTGAGTCCGGCGCTCATCTTCAGCAGGTTCACCAGCATCAGATCTGTGCGGCGGCACAGAGACCCTGACGAAGCTCCCTCTCCCGCCGCTCCCATCACTCCCGTCATGTTCGGCACCGTCAGCGGCGGCAGCGCCGACAGCTGCACACGCATCTTCTCAGCCTGAGGGCGGAGGTCAGAGGTCAGGGGTCACACCGCACCTGTGTTCACGCTGTAATGGAGGCTTATAATGACCTTCAGTCTGTAGTTCTCGCTCTTCAGCTGCTTGATGGCGAGCCGCTGCACGTCGATCTGCTGTTTGAGGAGAGGAGAGTCCACGACCTGAACCGCACCCGAGACTCCGCCCACAGCAGGAGACACGCCCCCTGCAACACAACACACAACGGCTCGACAACGCAGTGTTTGTAAAGCGGGCATCAGTAGTGTAGTAGTGTGAAGCGGGCCTTCCCGTCTCTCTCTTCAATCCAACACTGAAGTGAGTTAACCTGCAGTTCCTCCACTGGCCACTAGAGGCCGGCTGCAGAAGAGACTCAGTCCCATAGACCCGCATGTTAAAATGGTCAACTTTACAGCAGAAATAAACATGTTTACAGCCTAGTGTTAAAAGTGGTTTTGGTCTATATCGCTAATGTTGCCCTTCATGATGACTGTGAGGAGGGTGAGGTTTTTTATAACTCATCCATTTAAGTTATATTAAGCCTTAAAATTCTGCATAATTAAGGGCGTGGCCACTTGAGTGACAGGTGGATTGACGCTGATGTCACTACTAGCCGTTTGTCTGCTAGTGTTAGCGTCACGTCACCTCAGCTAATCCGCCTCGCGGCACATGTTCGTTTATCCGGGAGTGACGCGCGGCCAAGATGGCGACGGCCGGCTCCGCCCACTTTGGGCTTCAGAAACGCTCTTCAGAAACACTACGGGTGACGTCACACACACTACACATATTATAAACAGTCTATGGTGTAAAAAAGAAGTAAAAACTAACAAAAAAAGTTAAAAGATTTAAACACTGTAAAAACTTGAAACAATGTAAAAAAAAAATACAAACACAAAAAAGTTAAAACTGTTAAAAGAAATTTAAATTTAAAAAGTTTAAAAACTGTAAAAAATGTTACAAAGTCAAAACTGTTAAAAAATAAAAAATAAAAATTTTCTTTACAAACATTTTATTTTTATAAATGTAACGACTGTAAAGAAAAAAGTACAAACTGTAAATTTTTTCTTAAAAAGAATGAAATGTAAAGTGTGGTACCTGGGCCGGATCCAGTGACGATGGAGGCGATGCCAGACGCCGGCGGCCCACGCAAGCCTTCGCCAGCTCGTGATTGGCTGCTGATCCTCTGCTTTAGCTCCGCCTTCTCTGACTCCAGCTGATCGATGTCCGCCTGCAGCGCGTCCATCGTCTCCTCAAACTCCCTGCAGAATCACACATGCATTAATTCGGCTTCGGTCAGCCCCTGTGAGAGCATGAGAGAGCCGGCGGCGAGCGCACTTCTCCTTCTTCTTCAGCAGGCCGAGCGCCTCGTCCAGTTTGGTCTGGATCTTCTCCACTCGCTCGTCGGCGTCTTTCGTTGACGTGTCCAGCTTCTTCTCCAGCAAACTCAGACGAACGCTGGCCTCGCTCAACTCCTCGCCCTGAGGCACAGAACACACACCTGCTCACTCACACACTCTTACACACAGGCAAACCAACATCTACTCAGACTCCTTCAACATTATCACAGTTTATTCGCTATAGTGGTGATAGAATATGAGCAGAACTCAGTGGATATTTGACTGGTTTTGTCCGTCCTTCTGTTAGACTCTCACACATGAATTATGTTGAATGTCTGTCAGCTGTTAAATTTAACTACACAATTAGATAATACCAGTTTAGCTCAACCAGTGACCAAGCAATGCTTCATGTTGTTCAGTCTGTGTGTAAAAAGAGCATTAGCAATTACAGAAAACACACTTCAGCAAAACATCATCAGCTCAAAGTGGCGGAATCATTTTTAATCCTTAATTTTTATATTAATATTTGGGTGTAATATGTCACAGTTTACTTTATTTTGCTCTCCTCACTCACACACATGAACTATAGTGTCCTGCACACACTAGGGAAACAATATCACACATTATATCTGGTGCCTGGTATAACAATAACTATATATGTGAGAAATGTTGAAGGTGTACTGAGTGTGACTGTAAATATATTGAGATTATTATATTGACTTATAACATTTCTCGCATATTATTGTTCTGTGATTCCTGACCTTGATTTTGAGGGATTTTTTCAGCTCTTTGATGACGGTCTCTCGATCCTCCAGTTTATTTCCCAAACCCTCGGCGTCCGTCATCTCGGCTCTCACCGCGGCCGCACGCATCTCCACCGGAGGACGCTGACACACACACACACACACACACACACACACACACACACCAGATGAGATGGGCAGGTTTAGGGGTCGGGTTAGTGTGTGTGTGTGTGTGTGTGTGTGAGTATGTGTGTGTGAGAGAGTTAGAGAGAGAGAGAGAGAGAGAGAGAGAGAGAGAGAGAGAGAGAGAGAGAGAGAGTGAGAGAGTGAGAGAGAGTGTGTGTGTGAGAGAGTGTGAGAGAGTGAGAGAGTGTGTGTGTGTGAGTGTGTGTACCGGGCGCTGCGGTCTCTCGGCGTCGTACTCTCCCTCCTGCATGGCGGTGGCCATCTTGTTCATGGTGGCGATGACGGCGCTGCAGGACTGGCGTAAACACTCGTACGCATCGAGTCCGTGAGAGCCGTAGACCTGCCGTCACACACACACACGGTTACTGGGCTTTGGCATCGTGTGCATTTAATGATTCAGATTCTGCTTATCAATTATGATTCCTAATTTCGATTCCAATAAGGTAAAAAACCAAGAACTTAGATATCATTCACATTTAGTCTTATTGCCAAAGCTGTAACTGCAGCTGAATATCATAAGCAGAAATCCTCAGCTGAAGAACACTTACAGGAGCGTTTGCCTGAGCGTTAAACACACCATAGAAGAACAACTAGCGGACTAATGTAAATATCAAGCGTTATTAAACACAATAAACACTCAGTGATCAAAAGAGAACAAATAAAAAATTTGCAATCGCAACAAATAGACACAACTGAACAAAGATACGATTGCAATAATCAGTGTTTTAAGATTTTCAGGTTCAGAAACTGTAATCAAATGTAAAATGACACTTTATAAGTAAAATATACATTACAAATATAGTTATAAAGTTATTCAGTGAAGAGCGAGTGGATGTTCTCTGTCTTCTGTTGTGTGATTAGTGTTAATAGAGACGGCAGGAATATTAGTGCTGTCACTTTAAGAGCTGCACGGATCCAATATACTGATACACGTGTGTGTGTGTGTGTGTGTGGCACTGAAAAGTGATGGAGTACTCGAGTCCTTATCCTCTGGACTCGTGACTCGACTTGGACTCGCGGACTGATGACTACTACTTGGACTCGGACTCGAGAATATAAAATCGGACTTGAGCATTCATCAAATGTTTCTGACTAAAAAGGTTATAAAAAATTGATATAAGATGTTACACTTTTCCTGTTTCGGGGTCCAAGACCGGCCGTGATCTATTTTTTACCCTCACAGACACTGCTGCCGCTCGCTCTCCTTGCTTGACAACACACTCACTGACGTCACTCACTTTACGCCGCATTCTCGTGAGAGAGTTAACGTAACACTCATTTAACACTAGATAAGTTCCTCTACATCTAATCAGCCATTTCGATTTTGGCACGCTTTGCAGCAGCTGAGCTGACCACTAAGGAGCGAATGTACAGTGACGTGACATTTAAAGGTACCAGATTTAAACTGCTTTCGAGCTATGGCCGGCGCTGAGCCAAAATCGGACGCGCTCAGCGCTTAATCCCGCTTATCATGCAATAACACAATTAAGTTTATTTTAGCTAACAAACTAGGCGGCGACCTTGACCATGTCACACATCGCAACCACTCTTTTCCTGCGGAGTTACAACTGCTTATAGCAATGCATTTTCTGGGTTTTTTTTGCCACAGTTACATTGGGATTTAGTTTGCTTTTCAAAATTGTTTTTCTTTTACCATATTCGTCAAGAAGAATGCATTTCTCCTCCTCTGTCCAATTAGGCTTTCTTTTTTGTTTTCTTTATCCATTCCAGTTGACTGATCATCCAAAAATGTATTTAAACAATTAAATAAATAATCGTGCCACAGCTAGTTGACAATGATTTGAACTAAGGTCAAAGGCAATTCTAGTGATATCATACACATTTCTAGCTGCAAGAAAGAGTGCCTGAAAAATGTTGCTTGATTTGGCTTAAGTGTATATAATTTCGACTCTGACTCGAACACGGGACTCGAGACTCGACTCGGACTTGGACTCGGACTCGAACACTGGGACTCGAGACTCGACTCGGACTTGAACTCAGGTAATGGTGACTCGACTCGGACTCTTCTTTGGTGACTCGGACTTGGACTCGGACTCGAGACTCGACTCGGACTCTTCTTTGGTGACTCGGACTTGGACTCGGACTCGAACACTGGGACTCGAGACTCGACTCGGACTCGACAGTTGGTGACTCGACTCAGGCTTGAACTCAGGTAATGGTGACTCGACTCGGACTCGACTCGGACTCGACAGTTGGTGACTCGACTCAGGCTTGAACTCAGGTATTGGTGACTCGACTCGGACTCGACTCGGACTCGACAGTTGGTGACTCGACTCGGACTTGAACTCAGGTAATGGTGACTCGACTCGGACTCGACTCGGACTCTTCTTTGGTGACTCGGACTCGAACACTGGGACTCGAGACTCGACTCGGACTCGACAGTTGGTGACTCGACTCGGACTTGAACTCAGGTATTGGTGACTCGACTCGGACTCGACAGTTGGTGACTCGACTCGGACTTGAACTCAGGTAATGGTGACTCGACTCGGACTCGACTCGGACTCTTCTTTGGTGACTCGGACTCGAACACTGGGACTCGAGACTCGACTCGGACTCGACAGTTGGTGACTCGACTCAGACTTGAACTCAGGTATTGGTGACTCGACTCGGACTCGACTCGGACTCTTCTTTGGTGACTCGGACTTGGACTCGGACTCGAACACTGGGACTCGAGACTCGACTCGGACTCGACAGTTGGTGACTCGACTCGGACTTGAACTCAGGTATTGGTGACTCGACTCGGACTCTTCTTTGGTGACTCGGACTTGGACTCGGACTCGAACACTGGGACTCGAGACTCGACTCGGACTCGACAGTTGGTGACTCGACTCAGGCTTGAACTCAGGTAATGGTGACTCGACTCGGACTCGACTCGGACTCGACAGTTGGTGACTCGACTCGGACTTGAACTCAGGTAATGGTGACTCGACTCGGACTCGACAGTTGGTGACTCGACTCAGAGTTGAACTCAGGTAATGGTGACTCGACTCGGACTCGACTCGGACTCTTCTTTGGTGACTCGGACTTGGACTCGGACTCGAACACTGGGACTCGAGACTCGACTCGGACTTGAACTCAGGTAATGGTGACTCGACTCGGACTCTTCTTTGGTGACTCGGACTTGGACTCGACTCGACTCGGACTCTTCTTTGGTGACTCGGACTTGGACTCGGACTCGAACACTGGGACTCGAGACTCGACTCGGACTCGACAGTTGGTGACTCGACTCGGACTTGAACTCAGGTATTGGTGACTCGACTCGGACTCTTCTTTGGTGACTCGGACTTGGACTCGGACTCGAACATTGGGACTCGAGACTCGACTCGGACTCGACAGTTGGTGACTCGACTCAGGCTTGAACTCAGGTAATGGTGACTCGACTCGGACTCGACTCGGACTCGACAGTTGGTGACTCGACTCGGACTTGAACTCAGGTAATGGTGACTCGACTCGGACTCTTCTTTGGTGACTCGGACTCGAACACTGGGACTCGAGACTCGACTCGGACTCGACAGTTGGTGACTCGCCTACAACACTGCTGAAAACAGTTGATTTGTTTAAAGTCATATGGAAATGCTCACAGAGGAATCGGGATTTAAAAGTTATAACAGAATGTGATTCCGGACCCGAGCTGTTGCTGGCACAGAGCGGCGAGCGTGAGGCGCTGATGATGATGATGATGCGTGCGGGGGTGTACCTGCTCCACCGCTTTAAACGTCACGTCCTCCAGTGTGAGAGCCGCCAGTCCCTCGGGCTCGGGCATCGGCGCGATCATCTGAGCCCCGGCCGCCGCCACCTCCTGCAGGACGGCCACCACACGGGTCAGGTGCTTCCGGCAGTCCGACAGCGCCTCGCACACCTGCAACACACACACACACACACACACATCATGAGCAGAGCGGGGGAACTGCAACACACATCATCAGGCCGACAGCGCCTCGCACACCTGCAACACACACATCATCAGGCCGGGGGAACTCACTGAGGAAAGTAGTGCGTTACAATACTGCGTTACTACATTAAAGGGGTCATATAATGGTACATGCACTTTTACAAGTTGATTGTACTGAAATGTGTGTTGGCAGTGTCTGTACACAACCATCATATAATGATAAAAATCTATTTAGTTTTTTTGTTTAATCTCCTTATATGTTTTCCCCTGCCTCAGATCGAGCCGTTCGACCGTGTGACGTCACTAGATCGGACGCCCCTCCCAGTGTTGATTGACAGCAGCGTTTAAACACAGCCCCGCCCTGAGCGAGCTGTCATCATAGTCCGCTAGTGTTGATACGCTGGAGCAGAATGGCGTCTAAGCGATTGTGGTGTTCTGTTCTTGGGTGTAATAACGAACACAGTCATTTTAATGTTCCTAAATCCGAACCACTGAAGACGCAGTGGCTGAGTTTGTTTTCGAAGGGAATATTCCCCACGAGCAACGTCAATGCTCTCATGTTTGCGCGAATCATTTCTCACCAGACTGCTTTATAAACGAGGGTCAGTATAAAGCTGGTTTTGCTAAGAAGCTGCTCCTGAATAAAGGATCGGTACCAGCTATTCGTGTTCCTGCTGAACCTCCAGAAGAAGTGAGTGTAAGTTTTATTACCCTTTATATTAATCTTTGCAAATCGCTTGCACGCTTCACGATGTAAACTAAGGTTTACACTCAGGGTACATTACGGCATGTTTTCAAGACGACGTTCTTAATATAATTCATAATCCCATGTTTATAATGAACAACGCGTTATGGTTATTGTGTTATTACAAACTGAGTACGTATACATCAGTAAACACACAGCGTTCGTACGTCTCACTAAGTAACGTTACCCTGCCAGTACACAAAGATACATCAGTGACATTACGTTAACCAACCATTCAGAAACGTCCTGTTCAAGCCTTAACTGTCGAACTTCTTTGCCGCCGTCATCTTGTTCCGGTTCCGACTCCGGTTCAAACTGATATGGTAGCACAGATGTGTCCTCAGACACTCCCGCTGCCATTCTCTCTCCAAAATATACCCTCAACTGTTGTCAAGGCAACACTCCATGTGTGATGTGTCAAAGCGCCCGCAGAACAGAGGGGCGGAGTCAGCGGAGCTCATTATCATTTAAAGGCACATGCACTGAAACGGCGTGCTGAAAACAGAGCTGTTTTTGACCAGGTAAAATTAGTGTTGTCTTACAATACTAATGAGAATTTTTAATAAAAGTATATTATTTTCATTTAGACCCTAAAGAATCAAATTAACTTGTATGAAAATGGCATTATATGACCCCTTTAAAAAGTGACTAATTGCGTTACTTAGTTACTCTTTTAGAAAAGTAATGTGTTACAATTTGTGCAAGTGAGATGACTAAATGCTCACATTTAGTCTAGAACTACAATAACCATCATGTTCACACACTCTCACACACACACACACACACACACACACTCACACACACACACACACACCTGAGGCTGGAAGGTAAGCGCGGCAGGGATCCCAGGTGCGTCGGTTCCAGGCATCCGCCGGCGGATCTTCTTGCAGAACTGGCGAATGTCCCCGCAGGAAGTGTTCAGGTCCTTCAGGAGCACCGTAAGCCCCGCCCCTTCCTGTCCCGGCTGCAGGAAGGCCCGCAGACGCCCGACCTCTGACCCCACGCAGTCCAGCGCGCTCTGGGTGAACTGCAGGCACAGATGACCATGAGTCTGGCTCACACACTCCCACACCTTCACTTATAGCAGAGGTCATTACAACTAAAACTATTGCTGAAGTAAAATAAAACATAAATATGTACTAACATGAAGTACTGAACAGGATCATTATTATTAACTTACACTAAAATGAAATCTATAAAAACGTTTCGCTTCCTGAAATAAAATAAGCTAGTTTTAGTAATAAAACTGCTAAAATTAAAGCTGAAATAAAACATAATAAGAACTTTATTATAAACATTTAAATGTGGCAAAAAAAACTAAAACTTTAACTAAAATTCAGACCTGCAAACTCCTCAGAGTAAAAAAGGTGACAGTGTGGCGCGGGGGGGGGGGGGGGGGGGGGGGGGGGGCGGGGGGGGTGGTTACAGTTACATGGTTACAGTTACAGTTATGTTGTTCTGGATGAACACTATACTGTATATATAATTATCATAGGATTGGCAAAGGAGAAAAAAGGCAGTTAAATATAAATGAACCATGATGAGCAACACATTTGTTACTGTATTTATTATTCTTTGTTAATAAAAATACAGCTGTTCGTTGTTTGTTCATATTACTTCACAGTGCATTAGGCTAACTAATGTTAACAAATATAACTTTTAATTGTAATAAGGCTACTAGTAAATAGTGAAATTAACATTACCAAAGATTAATAAATGCTATTTATATATAAAGATTAAGAAGTGCAGTTTATGAATAGTTAATATTAACTAGTTTGTTGTTATAGATTTGTTATACACCGATTCAGATCTCTTTTGAAGAGACAGATGTTGGACAGATCAGTTATTTTAACCATTCATAAAAGTAAATCGGTTCAAATGAGTCATTAGTTTGCGAATCGGACGTGCCATTAGCTGACACACACGGCACGCGTTGTGTGATTATCCCAGCAGATAAGGACATCGCACAAGATTTGTCTCAACTCTCAACACAGAAAACATTTAATCACTGGATAGGTTTTTTGTTTATTGAAAATGTGGTTTATGTCAGCTGAATGTGCGGAAAGCTTTTCAGAGAGGATAGGGCAATTTTAGTAGGCTGCAATTCACACCCAGCGGTAATTCAGGAAAAAAAATCTCCACGTGAAACTTTGGTCTTTTGATCTTTTACTATCGTGTCACTTCTCAATAGATTTTGATTAATATGCGCGATAGAGGGAGAGCAAGGCAGTTTGAATACAGTGAGAGTGCGCGCGCGCGCGCGACCGGCTCTCTCTCTCTCTCTCTCTATATATATATATATATATATATATATATGCTCGACTTCTTTCAGCGCCCTGTCACGAGCGCAGCATAACAAAGCGGTAGCTAACCTTAATTGAATCAAGCAAACAACTAGATGTTGTTTTTGCTCCAAAAAAGCTTGATTTACCTCGAATTTCACATAAGATTCCTTCACGTTCTGAGTTTCCATCAGACTCGCGTGGTAGCCAGGTGTCTCATCCAATGGCGATTCTGACGCAAGTGCTAAGATTCCGATTGGCCAAGAGAAAAAGTACTAAGATTCCGATTGGCCCAGAGAAATGTCAATTATAAGAATTATCCAATAATGTTTCGCAATTCTAGCCTGCGTGCAGATTAAGGGCAGCCTACACCCCCCCCACCCCACCCCCCAAAAAACTCTCCGGTTCTACGCGATTCACGTGAATGACCCAAATGACCAAGAAAACGGCGATTATCGCCGAAAAGCGACAAGTTTGCAGGTCTGAAAATTATAATGTAAATAAAAATATGTTCAGTCAGAAACAACTAGAGCAGAGCGATTCACAGCGAACGACTCTCTTAATGATTCGCTCTGATGCCGGTGATTCACTTCTGATTCTACTCAGTGATTGGCTGATGATGCGGGTGACTGACTCAGTGATTGGCTGATTGGCTGATGATGCGGGTGACTCTGACTCAGTGATTGGCTGTGATGATGCGGGTGACTCTTTTCAGTGATTGGCTGTGATGATGCGGGTGACTCTGACTCAGTGATTGGCTGATGATGCGGGTGACTCTTTTCAGTGATTGGCTGATGATGCGGGTGACTGACTCAGTGATTGGCTGATTGTCTGTGATGCGGGTGACTCTTTTCAGTGATTGGCTATGATGATGCGGGTGACTCTTTTCAGTGATTGGCTGATGATGCGGGTGACTCTTTTCAGTGATTGGCTGATGATGCGGGTGACTGACTCAGTGATTGGCTGATTGTCTGTGATGCGGGTGACTCTGACTCAGTGATTGGCTGATGATGCGGGTGACTCTGACTCAGTGATTGGCTGATTGGCTGTGATGCGGGTGACTGACTCAGTGATTGGCTGATGATGCGGGTGACTGACTCAGTGATTGGCTGATGATGCGGGTGACTGACTCAGTGATTGGCTGATGATGCGGGTGACTCTGACTCAGTGATTGGCTGTGATGATGCGGGTGACTCTGACTCAGTGATTGGCTGATTGGCTGTGATGATGCGGGTGACTGACTCAGTGATTGGCTGATTGGCTGTGATGATGTGGGTGACTGACTCAGTGATTGGCTGATTGGCTGATGATGCGGGTGACTGACTCAGTGACTGGCTGATGATGCGGGTGACTCTGACTCAGTGACTGGCTGATGATGCGGGTGACTCTGACTCAGTGACTGGCTGATGATGCGGGTGACTCTGACTCAGTGATTGGCTGTGATGATGCGGGTGACTCTGACTCAGTGATTGGCTGTGATGATGCGGGTGACTCTGACTCAGTGATTGGCTGTGATGATGCGGGTGACTGACTCAGTGATTGGCTGATTGGCTGTGATGATGTGGGTGACTCTGACTCAGTGATTGGCTGATTGGCTGATGATGCGGGTGACTGACTCAGTGATTGGCTGTGATGATGCGGGTGACTCTGACTCAGTGATTGGCTGTGATGATGCGGGTGACTGACTCAGTGATTGGCTGATTGGCTGTGATGATGTGGGTGACTCTGACTCAGTGATTGGCTGATTGGCTGATGATGCGGGTGACTGACTCAGTGATTGGCTGATGATGCGGGTGACTCTGACTCAGTGATTGGCTGATAGTCTGTGATGCGGGTGACTAACTCAGTGATTGGCTGATAGTCTGTGATGCGGGTGACTCTGACTCAGTGACTGGCTGATGATGCGGGTGACTCTGACTCAGTGACTGGCTGATGATGCGGGTGACTGACTCAGTGACTGGCTGATGATGCGGGTGACTCTGACTCAGTGATTGGCTGATAGTCTGTGATGCGGGTGACTCTAACTCAGTGATTGGCTGATAGTCTGTGATGCGGGTGACTCTGACTCAGTGACTGGCTGATGATGCGGGTGACTCTGACTCAGTGATTGGCTGATAGTCTGTGATGCGGGTGACTCTGACTCAGTGACTGGCTGATGATGCGGGTGACTCTGACTCAGTGACTGGCTGATGATGCGGGTGACTGACTCAGTGACTGGCTGATGATGCGGGTGACTCTGACTCAGTGATTGGCTGATAGTCTGTGATGCGGGTGACTCTGACTCAGTGATTGGCTGATAGTCTGTGATGCGGGTGACTCTGACTCAGTGACTGGCTGATGATGCGGGTGACTCTGACTCAGTGACTGGCTGATGATGCGGGTGACTCTGACTCAGTGATTGGCTGATAGTCTGTGATGCGGGTGACTCTGACTCAGTGATTGGCTGATAGTCTGTGATGCGGGTGACTCTGACTCAGTGACTGGCTGATGATGCGGGTGACTCTGACTCAGTGACTGGCTGATGATGCGGGTGACTGACTCAGTGACTGGCTGATGATGCGGGTGACTCTGACTCAGTGATTGGCTGTGATGATGCGGGTGACTCTGACTCAGTGATTGGCTGTGATGATGCGGGTGACTCTGACTCAGTGATTGGCTGTGATGATGCGGGTGACTCTGACTCAGTGATTGGCTGATGATGCGGGTGACTCTGACTCAGTGATTGGCTGATGATGCGGGTGACTGACTCAGTGATTGGCTGATTGGCTGTGATGATGTGGGTGACTCTGACTCAGTGATTGGCTGATTGGCTGATGATGCGGGTGACTCTGACTCAGTGACTGGCTGATGATGCGGGTGACTCTGACTCAGTGACTGGCTGATGATGCGGGTGACTGACTCAGTGACTGGCTGATGATGCGGGTGACTCTGACTCAGTGATTGGCTGATTGGCTGATGATGCGGGTGACTCTGACTCAGTGATTGGCTGATTGGCTGATGATGCGGGTGACTCTGACTCAGTGATTGGCTGATTGGCTGATGATGTGGGTGACTCTGACTCAGTGATTGGCTGATTGTCTGTGATGCGGGTGACTCTGACTCAGTGATTGGCTGATTGGCTGATGATGCGGGTGACTCTGACTCAGTGATTGGCTGATTGTCTGTGATGCGGGTGACTCTGACTCAGTGATTGGCTGATTGTCTGTGATGCGGTGACTCTGAGTCAGTGACTGGCTGATGATGCGGGTGACTCTGACTCAGTGATTGGCTGATTGTCTGTGATGCGGGTGACTCTGACTCAGTGATTGGCTGATGATGCGGGTGACTGACTCAGTGATTGGCTGATGATGCGGGTGACTCGGACTCAGTGATTGGCTGATTGTCTGTGATGCGGGTGACTCTGACTCAGTGATTGGCTGATGATGCGGGTGACTGACTCAGTGATTGGCTGATTGGCTGATGATGTGGGTGACTCTGACTCAGTGATTGGCTGATGATGTGGGTGACTCTGACTCAGTGATTGGCTGATTGTCTGTGATGCGGGTGACTCTGACTCAGTGATTGGCTGATGATGCGGGTGACTCTGACTCAGTGATTGGCTGATGATGCGGGTGACTCTGACTCAGTGATTGGCTGATTGTCTGTGATGCGGGTGACTCTGACTCAGTGATTGGCTGATGATGCGGGTGACTCTGACTCAGTGATTGGCTGATTGGCTGATGATGTGGGTGACTCTGACTCAGTGATTGGCTGATGATGCGGGTGACTCTGACTCAGTGATTGGCTGATTGTCTGTGATGCGGGTGACTCTGACTCAGTGATTGGCTGATGATGTGGGTGACTCTGACTCAGTGATTGGCTGATTGGCTGATGATGCGGGTGACTCTGACTCAGTGATTGGCTGATTGGCTGATGATGCGGGTGACTCTGACTCAGTGATTGGCTGATGATGCGGGTGACTCTGACTCAGTGATTGGCTGATTGGCTGATGATGCGGGTGACTCTGACTCAGTGATTGGCTGATTGGCTGATGATGCGGGTGACTCTGACTCAGTGATTGGCTGATGATGCGGGTGACTCTGACTCAGTGATTGGCTGATTGGCTGATGATGCGGGTGACTCTGACTCAGTGATTGGCTGATGATGCGGGTGACTCTGATTCAGTGATTGGCTGATTGGCTGATGATGCGGGTGACTCTGACTCAGTGATTGGCTGATGATGCGGGTGACGCACCTTGATGTGGTCGGCCAGCTGTGTGCTGCAGTCCTCGGGCTGTTCGGACAGGTGAACGCTGTACAGTTGCTGCAAGAACAGACATTCAGCACTGAATCACACACTCCACTGCTATATTACATGACCACATTACTGCCCTCATGTGTGTGAGTGTGTGTACCTGGTAGAATCTGATGGCTTTGGTGAGCGGCTCCACCAGCACGGTCTCATCCAGCTGGTCCTTATGCAGCAGGTCTATGAGGAAGTCCAGCGAGCGCTCGTGAACGCTCATCTCCGAGTACAGCGTGCCCATGCGCTTGTACACCTCCACGCCGCACTGGCTCAGAGCGCTGCACACACACACACACACACACACAGAACATTAGACTCCACTATAGCAGGTGTGGGTAGGGTTCTGCTTCATAGAAGATGATATCTGGTAACACTTTACAATAAGGTTCATTAGCTAACATTAGTTAACAACCTTAGAACTAATAATGAACTGCACTTATACAGCATTTATTAAATCTGTTAATGTTAAATTCAACATTTACTAATACTTTATTAAAATCTTGTTAACATTAGTTAATGCACTGTAAACTAACATGAACAAACAAAGAACAGCTTTATGTTTTTTTTTAACTAACAGTAAAGATGAACACATACTGTAACACACGTATTGCTCATGGTTAGGTCATGCTAGTTAATACATCAGCTAATGCTAACTGATGAACCCTATTGTGAAGTGTTACGACATGTCGGAGAGTGTTGGTAAACTGCTTGGGTTGCCATTGCCGTCCATTGTATGACGGACTGAGACATGTTTCAAACGACCTTCTTTTATGTTCCACAGAAGACAGAAGGTCATTCAGGTTTGAGACGGCGTGAAGGAGAGTAAACGATGGCAGAATCATCATCATCTCTAGGTGAATTACCTCCTCAATACCCATTTAAAACCCAGCAATCTCTGTCTCATCAATAATCAGTCTGTAATATATAACCAATTCAGGTGCAGCATCTGCTGTTGTAGCCTAAGAGTTTATGTGTAATAAAACGTTGATTGATGACCACATTAACTATTTAAAGTCCCCCTGTGGTGAAACTCCAGCTTTTAATGTTGTTTATGTGTCTATGTGGTGTTATTAATACGCTTTAAGACACACCATGTGTAAGTTCATAAGTCGACAGCATTGCTGAGTATTTTCTGCTTTAAACTGCAGTGAACCAAAGACAGTCTCAAAAACACGGTTTGAAATCGCTGGTGTTTCTGACGTCACAAACGACCTTGTAACCAATCAGATCAACGTGTGATCGTCAACCAGTGGATCTCTGAGTGAGTGAGTGAGTGGAGGCGGGGCTCATTTGCATATTCAGAACCGCGCATACTAAATGAGGCACGGGTGTCGAGTTACATTCAAGATATTTTAAGGCAAATGTAATTTTGGAGATGAAAGCTGCGTTGTCAGGGGCCAATGCTCGCCCACAGGGGGACTCTCCTCATCAGCTGTTATATGAAGTGCAGTGTTGCTGACGGACACGTACAGCTCGTATTTATGCAGCGTGGCCTGAAGCAGCGTCAGGGAATAAACCAGACCCGAGGCAAAGCTCAGCTGTTCTCCAGCGGCGCCACGGAGTCCAGATCGCTCCACAGAGCCGGTCAGATCGAACTTCTCCTGCGCCTGCTTGCTGATCAGCTCCGCCTGGCACACACAAACACAGCAAACACAACGCTCTGAGGCTCATCACAGCGGGAGACATGCATTCACACACACCAACCAACAACTGCTTCAGGAACTCACTATGGTGAACATAAACAGCAGAGAAAGACAACCATGTGTATCAGTACATCAGATCAGTGCACTAGCCTGAACCCTTGCTGCTCTCTGGGCATTTGTGTCTGGAGAGTTTTACGGGTTTTTTAATTTATTTGTTTCTTCATCGGAATGGTACGAAACTTGGTAAAGGTTTTGGCACTTGCTGTGAACACACACATAAATCATGGACATGATTCGAACAGGTTAAATAGTCCTGAATATAACAGTCACACTTGTGTTTCTGGCGGTCAGAAACGAGCGCATTGGAAATGAATGGAGAGTTTCCTCTAGTGGAAGCGTGTGGAACTGCAGCCGAACACACTCTCACTGAACGCTCGTTTACTGAGATCAAGATCATATTTAGAGCACGACTTCTTTAGATTTATGGTTTTGATTTACTTGCATTTTTAGAGTAAAACGTGATTTAGAAAATTTATTTTTTATATAAAAATTGAAAATAGTATTTTTGTGCATTTTTCATAACAATACATGTACAATTCTGTAACTTTTTTTAAAGTCACTTTTTAAAACGTCCACTTCAGCAATAATCTGCCGAGTGTCGTCTTTGAGGAGAGATCGAGCTTCAGTCTGTCGCTCTAAAGCGTTCAGGATTCTCCACAGTTTAACATGGAAACGTCGTTTTCAGGTCTATGCTCAAAAACTGAATAAATTGAGTATAAATACAGCGTAAATATAATTTAATAATCCCCTAAAAATACAAAATATTAAATAAAAAACATTATCGTACTAAAATATAGTACATTAATTTCACTGATTGGGTCATTTCGACCGATAGCGCAGAGCACCGGTGTGTAAATGCTGCCTAATTTTCCCAGAATCCCCACCCGAGTCCCGAACAGCAGTGATGTCATTGATATGTGTGCATTGAGGATGTGTGTGAGGGAGCGGCACCTTGCAGATGAGTCTGGGGATCAGGAGCAACACCAGGATGCAGTCGTGGTCTCCTCCGTGCCTCAGGAACGACTCCGGCATGAAGGACGTCAGCAGAGACACCTGGCGGTTCGCTTGGTTCACCTCCATCTTACGCAGCTCCATCTCGATGGCCTACACACACACACACACACACACGAAATCATGATGAAAAATATTCGCTGATGACCTTTTCTTCCATGACTAAGACGAGACGATAATAACTTGCAATATCGTTGATGAAAAAAGACGAGACTAAACCGTAGTTAACAAATGAAAGCATGACTGAAACCTCTCTTTCTGCATCACAGACTGTGTTTAACTCGCCGCTACGAGCTTCACGCGTGCGCTCGCCAGAGCTCAAGAATGGAAATCCCCCAATCAGAGCGTCTCTGCTAAAAGGACACGTTTTCTACCCGATGTTTTGAGTCTGGCAGCGTGGCTCTCTACACTGAGGAAGACAGTGAGACCCAGACGAGCCTGTGAGACCCAGACGAGCCTGTGAGACCCAGACGAGCCTGTGAGACCCAGACGACCCAGACGAGCCTGTGAGACCCAGACGAGCCTGTGAGACCCAGACGAGCCTGTGAGACCCAGACGAGCCTGTGAGACCCAGACGAGCCTGTGAGACCCAGACGAGCCTGTGAGCCGGCGCTCTCCGTCTCCGTCAGGTTAATTTATGAAAACATCAGGAAACTAGATTAGATGAAATAAACCTAATTTGACACTCACACTCTCTCTCTCACACACACACACACTCTCTCTCTCTCTCTCTCTCTCTCTCTCACACACACACACACACAGGCTAACGGTACCTTGGCGTAAGCTTTGGTCTCTGCGAACTTGATCTTGAAGTCGAAGAGTTCTGCCGCCGGCTGCTGAAGCTCAGCTGAGCTGCTCTGCTGATTGGTCAACTCTCGGTTCACTTCCTGTTCACACACAGGAGAAGACATGCTCACGTGTGTGTGTGACAGCAGCAGGAGTGTGTGTGACAGCAGCAGGAGTGTGTGTGACCTGCAGGTGTGTGTGACAGCAGCAGGAGTGTGTGTGACCTGCAGGTGTGTGTGACAGCAGGAGTGTGTGTGACCTGCAGGTGTGTGTGACAGCAGCAGGAGTGTGTGTGACAGCAGGAGTGTGTGTGACCTGCAGGTGTGTGTGTGTGTGAGAGTGTGTGTGACCTGCAGGTGTGTGGTGAGCTCCCGGTATTTGCTGATGGTGTGTGTGACAGCAGTGTGTGTGTGTGAGTGTGTGTGTGTGTGTGTGTGTGTGTGTGTGTGTGTGTGTGTGTGACCTGCAGGTGAGTGGTGAGCTCCCGGTCTTTGCTGATGGTGTGTGTGACAGCAGTGTGTGTGTGTGAGTGTGTGTGTGTGTGTGTGTGTGTGTGTGTGTGTGACCTGCAGGTGAGTGGTGAGCTCCCGGTATTTGCTGATGGTGTGTGTGACAGCAGTGTGTGTGTGTGTGTGTGTGTGTGAGTGTGTGTGTGTGTGACCTGCAGGTGAGTGGTGAGCTCCCGGTCTTTGCTGATGGTGTGTGTGACAGCAGTGTGTGTGTGTGAGTGTGTGTGTGTGTGTGTGTGTGTGTGTGTGTGTGTGTGTGTGTGTGTGTGTGTGTGTGTGACCTGCAGGTGAGTGGTGAGCTCCCGGTATTTGCTGATGGTGTGTGTGACAGCAGTGTGTGTGTGTGTGTGTGTGTGTGTGTGTGTGACCTGCAGGTGAGTGGTGAGCTCCCGGTATTTGCTGATGGTGTGTGTGACAGCAGTGTGTGTGTGTGTGTGTGTGTGTGTGTGTGACCTGCAGGTGAGTGGTGAGCTCCCGGTCTTTGCTGATGGTGTGTGTGACAGCAGTGTGTGTGTGTGAGTGTGTGTGTGTGTGTGTGTGTGTGTGTGTGTGTGTGACCTGCAGGTGAGTGGTGAGCTCCCGGTATTTGCTGATGGTGTGTGTGACAGCAGTGTGTGTGTGTGTGTGTGTGTGTGTGTGTGTGACCTGCAGGTGAGTGGTGAGCTCCCGGTATTTGCTGATGGTGTGTGTGACAGCAGTGTGTGTGTGTGTGTGTGTGTGACCTGCAGGTGAGTGGTGAGCTCCCGGTATTTGCTGATGGTGTGTGTGACAGCAGTGTGTGTGTGTGTGTGTGTGACCTGCAGGTGAGTGGTGAGCTCCCGGTATTTGCTGATGGTGTGTGTGACAGCAGTGTGTGTGTGTGTGTGTGTGTGACCTGCAGGTGAGTGGTGAGCTCCCGGTATTTGCTGATGGTGTGTGTGACAGCAGTGTGTGTGTGTGTGTGTGTGTGTGAGTGTGTGTGTGACCTGCAGGTGAGTGGTGAGCTCCCGGTATTTGCTGATGGTGTGTGTGACAGCGGTGTGTGTGTGTGTGTGTGTGTGTGTGAGTGTGTGTGACAGCAGTGTGTGTGTGTGAGTGTGTGTGTGACCTGCAGGTGAGTGGTGAGCTCCCGGTATTTGCTGATGGTGTGTGTGACAGCAGTGTGTGTGTGTGTGTGTGTGTGTGTGTGACCTGCAGGTGAGTGGTGAGCTCCCGGTATTTGCTGATGGTGTGTGTGACAGCAGTGTGTGTGTGTGTGTGTGTGTGTGTGTGTGTGTGTGTGTGTGAGTGTGTGTGTGACCTGCAGGTGAGTGATGAGCTCTCGGTATTTGCTGATGGTGTGTGTGACAGCAGTGTGTGTGTGTGTGTGTGTGTGTGTGTGTGTGTGTGTGTGTGAGTGTGTGTGTGACCTGCAGGTGAGTGGTGAGCTCCCGGTATTTGCTGATGGTGTGTGTGACAGCAGTGTGTGTGTGTGTGTGTGTGTGAGTGTGTGTGTGTGTGTGTGTGTGTGTGACCTGCAGGTGAGTGGTGAGCTCCCGGTATTTGCTGATGGTGTGTGTGACAGCAGTGTGTGTGTGTGTGTGTGTGTGTGTGTGACCTGCAGGTGAGTGGTGAGCTCCCGGTATTTGCTGATGGTGTGTGTGACAGCAGTGTGTGTGTGTGAGTGTGTGTGTGTGTGTGTGTGTGTGTGACCTGCAGGTGAGTGGTGAGCTCCCGGTATTTGCTGATGGTGTGTGTGACAGCAGTGTGTGTGTGTGTGTGTGTGTGTGTGTGTGTGTGTGACCTGCAGGTGAGTGGTGAGCTCCCGGTATTTGCTGATGGTGTGTGTGACAGCAGTGTGTGTGTGTGTGTGTGTGTGTGTGTGTGTGTGTGTGACCTGCAGGTGAGTGGTGAGCTCCCGGTATTTGCTGATGGTGTGCTGGTAGTCGGCCACGGTCTCCTGGCACGCCTCGACTCTCCTCTGCGCCTCTCGCACGCGCGCTCCGGCCAGATCCAGATGCTCCCGCAGCTCCAGCTCCGTCTCGCGCGCGTTCTCCTGCAGCTCGTCGTTCATCTCGTTGATCGACTCCTGCGGGACACACAAGCACACGCTAGTTACATTAACTACGGAAATGAGTGAGCATGGACAGCAGAGCCAGTCACGGGTCCATCTCTCATATCTCGGTGATCGACTCCTGTATCCTATAGATAAACACTTTTGCTGGACCATATAAAATATGTTTACAATCAATATTTATTTCATGTTGCCCCACATAATTATGGACAAAAGAAGGTATTTCATTTTTGTGTTTAAAACTGCACTTACAACACTTTAAAATGCTGAACACAAAGTGTGTGTGTGTGTGTGTGTGTGTGTGTGTGTGTGTATAGATGGTCTATAATCGTTCCCTACAACTGAAACCAAAACAAAAAATGTTTTGGTTTGAACAATACTTTAAATAAAATAAAAGTATTTTACACCAAGACAACATTTCTCATTTTCATTTAGTTGAACTTGACAACATTTATATTTTCTTTAAATTTCATAATAAAAATGATTGAATTTTAAAGTCGAGACATTGCTTCATATTATAAGTAGCAGGCGCTACAAATGCATAGTGAAGTTTTGTTCATCTATCTACACATCAATAGATACCAGCACAGACTAAAAGAGTTTAGAAATGGGTAATATAAAAATAAAACAATAATTTAAAGCATTATAAGCTGTAATGTGAGTGGCAGTGGAGTAGCGCTGCTCACCAGGTCACTGACGGTCTCTCTCAGCTCACGCACTTTCTCTTCCAGGTCCAAGTTTCTCTCCGTCAGTGTCTCCACCATCTCCTCCGCACCCAAAGCAGCGTCCACCTGACACACACACACACACACACACACCTTATTGAAATCGAAATTAGGAATCGATAAGCAGAATCGAAAAATATCACTGTTAAATGTCCTATAACTGTTCACATTTTCTCGCAAATGTAAAAAGAAGAAAAACAACCCTTTTAAGGGCCCTATGAAATCTATTTTATTCTTTCCCAAAATCAGTTTCCCCCTAATTTTTCTGGATAAACCCCCCCTCCCCAATTTCTCCAAATTTTACATGTTTGTAACAAAAATAAAATTTTTAGGTCCCTACGAAATCCTTTTTTATTTTTTCCCTCGCATTCCGTGTTTCCCTAAATTCCTGGATTTCCGGTTTGATTACATTTTAATATTTAAAAAGCAAGCCTAACCAATTGAATTACAATTTATTATTTGTCTTTATTATTATTTTGACCCATTTTCCAGTCTATTAGTCTGTCTTTAACCAGGTTTCCCTGGTATCTGAGAGCTTATAAGGGTCACCCAGTGGAGTGATCTGACCGGTTCTGCCTCTGACCTGTTCCTTGAGCTCGTCGACTGTGGCCTCGGCCTCCTTCATCTGCTCCTGCAGCTTCTCCTTCTGCGCTCTCAGCGTCTCCAGCTCCGAGTTCTTCTTCTCCATCTGCTTCTGCAGCTTCAGGTGCTCCTGCTTCTCTGAGGAGGACAGATCCCTCATCCTGACCAGCGCCTCCTTCAGACGCCCGTTCTGCTCCTCCAGCTGCTTCAGCTGATAACTGGACGCCGCGCCATCGGAGCCTGGAGACACAGACAGGGGTCACATGACTGTCCGGCACACGTGTGCGCGTGTGTGTGTGTGTCCTTGTGTGTGTGTGCTCGGTTCCTACTAGGCTTGGGTATTGTTTGAATTTTAATGATTCAGATTCTGCTTATCGATTATGATTCCTAATTTTGATTCCAATAGGGTAAAAACACAAACTTGGATATCATTCACATTTAGTCTTATTGCTAAACCTGTAACTGCAGCTGAATATCATGAGCAGAAATCATCAGCTGAAGAACACTTACAGGAGCGTTTGCCTGAGCGTTAAACACACCATAGAAGAACAACTAGCGGACTAATGTAAATATCAAGCGTTATTAAACACAATAAACACTCATTATTTGAAAAAATAAAATAAAATTAGCAATCGCAACAAATAGATACAATTGAAGATACAATTGAAATAAACAGTGTTTTAAGATTTTCAGGTGTTCAGGTTCAGTAACTGTAATCAAATGTAAAATGACACTTTGTAAAAAAAAATATATACATTACAAGTATAGTTACAAAAGTTATTCAGTGAAGAACGAGTGAATTTTCTCTTTGCCTTCTGTTGTGTGATTAGTGTTATTATAGAGACAGCAGGAATATTAGTGCTGTCACTTTAAGAGATGCACGCGTCCAATATACTGATACACGTGTGTGTGTGTGTGTGTGTGTGTGTGTGTGTGTGTGTGTGTGTGCAGCACAGAAAACTGTTGAATGGTTTAAAGTCATATTGGAGTGCTCACAAAGGAATCGATAAGAGAAATCAAAATTTTAATTGTAGTACAAGTATCCGATTCCTGACCTCAAGTATCCGATTCCTGACCTCAAGTGTCCGATTCCTGACCTCAAGTATCCGATTCCTGACCTCAAGTGTCCGATTCCTGACCTCAAGGATCCGACTCCTGACCTCAAGGATCCGACTCCTGACCTCAAGTATCCGACTCCTGACCTCAAGTATCTTATTCCTGACCTCAAGTGTCCGATTCCTGACCTCAAGTATCTTATTCCTGACCTCAAGTATCCGATTCCTGACCTCAAGTGTCCGATTCCTGACCTCAAGTATCCGACTCCTGACCTCAAGTATCCGACTCCTGACCTCAAGTATCCGACTCCTGACCTCAAGTATCTTATTCCTGACCTCAAGTGTCCGATTCCTGACCTCAAGTATCCGACTCCTGACCTCAAGTATCTTATTCCTGACCTCAAGTGTCCGATTCCTGACCTCAAGTATCCGATTCCTGACCTCAAGTATCCGACTCCTGACCTCAAGTATCTTATTCCTGACCTCAAGTGTCCGATTCCTGACCTCAAGTATCTTATTCCTGACCTCAAGTATCCGACTCCTGACCTCAAGTATCCGACTCCTGACCTCAAGTGTCTTATTCCTGACCTCAAGTGTCCGATTCCTGACCTCAAGTATCTTATTCCTGACCTCAAGTATCCGACTCCTGACCTCAAGTATCCGACCTCAAGTATCCGACTCCTGACCTCAAGTATCTGACTCCTGACCTCAAGTATCCTGACCTCAAGTATCCGATTCCTGACCTCAAGTATCCGATTCCTGACCTCAAGTATCTTGTTCCTGACCTCAAGTATCTGACTCCTGACCTCAAGTGTCCGACTCCTGACCTCAAGTGTCCGACTCCTGACCTCAAGTGTCCGACTCCTGACCTCAAGTGTCCGACTCCTGACCTCAAGTGTCCGACTCCTGACCTCAAGTATCCGACTCCTGACCTCAAGTATCCGACCTCAAGTATCCGACTCCTGACCTCAAGTATCCGACTCCTGACCTCAAGTATCCTGACCTCAAGTATCCGACTCCTGACCTCAAGTATCCGACTCCTGACCTCAAGTATCTTATTCCTGACCTCAAGTGTCCGATTCCTGACCTCAAGTATCTTATTCCTGACCTCAAGTATCCGACTCCTGACCTCAAGTATCCTGACCTCAAGTATCCGACTCCTGACCTCAAGTATCTTATTCCTGACCTCAAGTGTCCGATTCCTGACCTCAAGTATCTTATTCATGACCTCAAGTATCCGACCTCAAGTATCCGACTCCTGACCACAAGTATCTGACTCCTGACCTCAAGTATCCTGACCTCAAGTATCCGACTCCTGACCTCAAGTATCCGACTCCTGACCTCAAGTATCTTATTCCTGACCTGAAGTGTCCGATTCCTGACCTCAAGTATCCGATTCCTGACCTCAAGTATCCGACTCCTGACCTCAAGTATCCGATTCCTGACCTCATGTATCCGATTCCTGACCTCAAGTATCCGACTCCTGACCTCAAGTATTCGACTCCTGACCTCAAGTATCCGACTCCTGACCTCAAGTGTCCGATTCCTGACCTCAAGTAACCGACCCCTGACCTCAAGTATCCGACTACTGACCTCAAGTGTCCGATTCCTGACCTCAAGTATCTTATTCCTGACCTCAAGTGTCCGATTCCTGACCTCAAGTATCTTATTCCTGACCTCAAGTATCTTATTCCTGACCTCAAGTGTCCGATTCCTGACCTCAAGTATCTTATTCCTGACCTCAAGTGTCCGATTCCTGACCTCAAGTATCTTATTCCTGACCTCAAGTGTCCGATTCCTGACCTCAAGTATCTTATTCCAGACCTCAAGTGTCCGACTCCTGACCTCAAGTATCCGATTCCTGACCTCAAGTATCTGACTCCTGACCTCATGTATCCGATTCCTGACCTCAAGTATCTTATTCCTGACCTCAAGTGTCCGATTCCTGACCTCAAGTATCTTATTCCTGACCTCAAGTGTCCGATTCCTGACCTCAAGTATCTTATTCCTGACCTCAAGTATCCGACTCCTGACCTCAAGTATCTTATTCCTGACCTCAAGTATCCGACTCCTGACCTCAAGTATCCGACTCCTGACCTCAAGTATCTTATTCCTGACCTCAAGTGTCCGATTCCTGACCTCAAGTATCTTATTCCTGACCTCAAGTATCCGATTCCTGACCTCAAGTATCCGACCTCAAGTATCCGACTCCTGACCTCAAGTATCCGACTCCTGACCTCAAGTATCTTATTCCTGACCTCAAGTGTCCGATTCCTGACCTCAAGTATCTTATTCCTGACCTCAAGTATCCGACTCCTGACCTCAAGTATCCGACTCCTGACCTCAAGTATCCGACTCCTGACCTCAAGTATCCGACTCCTGACCTCAAGTATCCGACTCCTGACCTCAAGTATCTTATTCCTGACCTCAAGTGTCCGATTCCTGACCTCAAGTATCTTATTCCTGACCTCAAGTATCCGACTCCTGACCTCAAGTATCCGACTCCTGACCTCAAGTATCTTATTCCTGACCTCAAGTGTCCGATTCCTGACCTCAAGTATCTTATTCCTGACCTCAAGTGTCCGATTCCTGACCTCAAGTATCTTATTCCTGACCTCAAGTGTCCGATTCCTGACCTCAAGTATCTTATTCCTGACCTCAAGTGTCCGATTCCTGACCTCAAGTGTCCGATTCCTGACCTCAAGTGTCCGATTCCTGACCTCAAGTATCCGATTCCTGACCTCAAGTATCCGATTCCTGACCTCAAGTATCCGATTCCTGACCTCAAGTATCCGATTCCTGACCTCAAGTATCCGATTCCTGACCTCAAGTATCTTGTTCCTGACCTCAAGTATCTTGTTCCTGACCTCAAGTATCTTGTTCCTGACCTCAAGAATCCGACTCCTGACCTCAAGTGTCCGAATCCTGACCTCAAGTATCTGACTCCTGACCTCAAGTATCTGACTCCTGACCTCAAGTATCTGACTCCTGACCTCAAGTGTCCAATTCCTGACCTCAAGTATCTGACTCCTGACCTCCGGTACCCGATTCCCCGCCCCAGTGCGTACCCTTCTCCTGTATCTCGTGCTTGAGGATCTCCAGGTCCATGGTGAGCTCCTCCACCTTCTCCTTCAGGCTCTCCAGCTCCTGCTGCAGGGACTCGGCCCGCTCCTCCGCCATCTCCTTGTCCAGCGTGGCCATCTCGATAGCGTCCGCGGTGTCCGCCATCTCCTCCATGTAGCGGTCCTTAGCCTCCAGAGCCTCACGCGCCTCCTGCAGACAGAGGACAGGGTTACGCTCAGATACACAAACACACACACTCTCTTACAGAGGAGTTACTCTCAGATACACACACACACACACACCACACGCTCTTATAGAGGAGATATAAACGCTTACTCCTAGATACACTCACACCACACTCTCAATGGACAAACAGACAATGTCAGTAAAGATTACTGCGACTTTTACCTTCAGCAAAAAGCACCGTAAAAATCACCTCAGGTAATGCTAATCCCGTGCGATCAAGGCATTTTGTGTATGTAGTGTGTGCGTGTGTGTGAGTGATTGAGTGTGTGACTGAGTGAGTGACTGAGTGTGAGTGTGTGACTGAGTGAGTGTGAGTGAGTGTGTGTGAGTGAGTGAGTGAGTGTGTGTGTGAGTGAGTGAGTGTGAGTGAGTGTGTGTGAGCACCTTCTTGGCCTCCTTCAGCTGTCTCTGCAGCTCGTTCTGCTGCTCCTGCATCTTGCTCCTCCACTCCTGCAGCTGCTCCAGCTGGATCTTGTGCTTCTCCATCTCCTTAAGCTTGGCTTTATCCTCCGAGCGCTTCATCCGCAGCGTCTCCAGCTTCTCCTCCAGATCCCGGACTTGAGCTCGGAGACTCTCCTCCTCCTGCACACACACATAGATTCGATTCATATTTACATTTATGCATTTGGCAGACGCTTTTATCCAAAGAGACTTACATTGCATTTCAAGATACACATTTACACTCTAATCAGTTCTTGCTTTCCCTGGGAATCGAACCCATGACCTTGGTGTTGCAATTGTACTGTTTGAATTCAATTCACACTTTTAGGCTCCTATGCCACCACGTCTGTCTTTGACAGACAGGTCGACCTGAGATCAGGCTCCGCCCCCACCTACATCACTCAGGTCGACCCATAACAAAATCATTCTCGCTTTACAACAAGCTCTCTCAGCACGTCCGACTTCATCGCTGATTTTCGCTAAACTGTTCAACAGGCGGACCGTCATTGAATTACGCCACCGAACGCGCCATCAGTGGATTGGACTGTATTGAGTGTCACATCAGAATAGTGTCCGCGTCAAGGCAAGGATGGCCTCGTTCGATGGCCTTCTCGCACACGAGGAGGAGGAGCCGGGTGACGAGGAAGCGGAGGGCGACGCTAACGCTGACCTCCTTGACTTGGACATGGATGATGAGGAGGAGGAAGACAACTCTCTCTTCCCTGTCCAACAGTCTAGACCCCCTAGCACGACTGACTCGGGCTCTCAGGCAGACGGTAACCTGCACGAGGTGTGCAAGCGAGCCGCGGCTAAACTGGGCCTAGCGTGGCCCGCGGCGGAGGATGCAGAAGGAGCAGAGAGGGACCTTATGACGGAAAAAGGCTAGCGCCTGCTTAAACCACAACGAGACGCCGTGCCGGCGTGCATGAAAGAGATGTCCCGCCATTGGGGTTGCCCCTTTAAAGGAGAACTCCGGCGCAAAATGAACCTTTGGTCTAATTACACATTGTTACCTAGTCAACCGTTATCTGAGATTTGTTTTCATGATTATCGAATGTAAATATTTTTATCTCTAAAAACAGTTTAGCCTATAAAGCTAGTATAACGCTAGTATATTGGGCATAGTGTAATGACAAATAAAAATCGCTTGTTAATACCACTAACAAGGCTGAAAATAGCCCCACACTAACACGGTAGCATAATGAGGGTCCCTACCTTCAAACCGAAGCATTGAGAACTTTGTCAGTGTACAGACAGTTTAATAAGAAGATATTTTAAACATACAGTCAACTTCGCGAATACAGGCAGGAGCCATCTTTGAAATACAGCCTTTACCAGTCGATCTACGACAACTAGACACGGGAATGCCGAACCCAGCAGTCTTCGAAGAATGGTTTGGACGGAGTCACATTGTCCCTTTTTAAGGGACATATGTTTTCTCCAGGATCTGTTAGATCAGGGATTCCCAAAGTGTGGTGCGCGCACCCCCAGGGGTACGCGAGCTGTCACCAGGGGGTGCGCGAGAGGAAAAATGCAATGGCGGTCTGTTTTTTTAAATGGGATTTTTTCCTTACAATAAAAAAAAACATGAACTGTAAACATTTCCTTTGTAATCGCTTATATTTTAAATAAATAAAAAAACAATTATTTGTTAGTTTTTAATAAAAACGTATAAGACAGCAGCTGTCTTCTTCTAAACACTGCTCTGCACACGTTATCAACTTCTAAATTCAAATGTGCTTTCGCGCGTTGGCTGGCGCTTAGCCAGTGCTGTCATAGCCTATATCACAACTATTGAGTGTTTTCAACCACATAATGTTTATTTTAAGTTTCAGACATTTAAATATACATAAGTACTAGCAAAACAATGATTTTGATTTTGCTGATATCTATGGATAAGGCAATAATAATCATTTTTATTATAAGATGACACGTTTTATTCATATCAGATACACATTGTGTAGAACGTAGCTTCACATTTTACCCTATTCTTCTCCCAGTTCACCAGCCTCTTACGTTCATGTATTTCGTGAGAAGGGAAGAAACTGACGTGTTGTAAATCCAACAGATCCGATTCTTCTCTGAACAATGGCACAAACTAACATGACGTCGCCCATCGCGCATACAGCTCAACTAACGCAATCGTTATGAAGGCGTTTAAACAACACAACGCGTCCACTTACACATATTTGACAATCGGAATATCAGTGTTTCATGCTATAGCTAATACATTTGTGAATATTTTTTGATAAAAAAAGGAAAAATGACATAAAAGCAGATCATCATTCATTCAGTGCTGTGTTGTGGTTGCGCTGTGTCCCGTGACAAGCAATGACGCGTCACCATGGAAACATTAAAGTGACAAATTCTAAATAACGGTCGCATTGGTGTGAAAGAGTTAAAAGTGGAAGCTTGTGCGTAGCTTTGTTGCATTATATTGAAACTTTGTTGATGTTGTTATTGTCATGTGTGTTCTGGTTATTTGAGCATGATAAAACATGAGTCTTTATATGACAATAAAACAAAGCTTTGTTGCGTGTTTTTTTTTTTTTTTTTTTTTTTTTTTTTAGTGGGGATTGGGGGTGCGCCAACCCGGTTGGGACATAGAAGGGGGTGCGCAAGGAAAAAAGTTTGGGAACCGCTGTGTTAGATAAAGGGAAGGCCTTTTCAACGTTAAGGGTATACTTAGCGGCTATATCTGCTTGTCATGTTAGTTCAGGTGACAAGACAGCGGGTCAGCACCCTTTAATAAGTCGTTTTATGAAAGGGGCACGGCTTAAGAGGCCAGTGGCCAGGCGAATGCTTTGGTGGGATTTGTCTATGGTTTTAGAGGACCTTTCTCAATACCTTTTTGAGCCGGTGGAAGCTATAGGGTTGAAGTTTCTCTCTCTTAAGACAGCACTGCTGTTAGCGCTGGTGACAGCGAAGCGGCTGAGCGACTTACAGGCCCTGTCTGTCAGCTCGTCTTGTCTACAGTTTTCTCCAGGGCTCACAAGGGTTTCCTTTCGCCCTAACCCTGCTTTCGTACCTAAAATAGTGGACTCGTCTTATAGATGTCAGACTACAGAACTTACAGCCTTCCACCCTCCTCTGTTCTCTTCTCCGAGGGATAGGAGATTGAATTCTTTATGTCCTGTACGGGCGCTTCGTGTGTATGTGGAAAGGACAGCAGGTTTCAGGAAGAATGACCAGCTGTTTGTGTCATGGGCTACTCCTCACAAAGGGAAGCCGTTTTCACGTCAACGACTGTCCCATTGGATTGTAGAGGCTCTCTCTTTAGTGTAGGGTTAAGGCTCTCCTGAGGGCTTAAGGGCCCACTCCACTAGGGGCAGGGCTACATCATGGGCCTTACTTAAGGGAGTCTCAGTCCAGGAGATCTGTACGGCAGCAAGCTGGGCTACGCCACACACTTTTGTGTGATTTTATAGACTGAATGTGTCGGAGCCATTCTTAGCTCATGCAGGGCTAGGAGCCAGCACATCAGGTCCCATTTGATGAGGTATAGCGTACGTTGTGCAATCCGGGAGTGGTCTATATCTCCCATAGTGAAACACAGAAGGTTAGGTTAGGTTAAACCGGAAGGTTGGTGGTTCAATCCTCGGTTCCACCTGACCAAGTGTCGAGGTGTCCATGAGCAAGACACCTAACCCCAGCTGCTCCCGACGAGCTGGATGGCGCCTTGCATGGCTGCCGTCGCCCGTCGGTGTATGAATGAGTGAGTGAATGGGTGAATGTGAGGCAAATTGTAAAGCGCTTTGGTGGCCATTGTGTCTGTGAAAGCGCTATATAAATGCAGTCCATTTACCATTTACCATTTGAGAACAGAGTGAGGAGTTTCACCAACACTTCGGGAAGACACTCTCTATAATGACTTCGTTATGGGTCGACCTGAGTGATGTAGGTGGGGGCGTAACCCATCGTTATGCATTTCATAAATGTACATGTACAAAATCACAGTTAACGAAAAAGGTATAATTTAAACAAAATCACAGTTAGCGAAAAAAGTATTAATTTAAACAATGTAATAATTTAATGCGGAAACAATGAGCTCATTGAAGTAATGAATACTTGTGTGTTAACAAATGATGATGACATTTAGACAGGCTTTCAGAGGCTCATTACTGAAATAATGCAAGAGTGGACCAAAAGTAAACAAAAATGAGTAGATTCAAGCCAATGAAAAGAATGCAAAGGTCAGAGGTCGCTCACCTTGCTAGGGGTCGCAAGAGGCGGGCCGCTGGGGGCGGGGCTTGGCTGTGGGACGACAGGAGCTCCCAGTGCCTTCTGGGAAGAGGATGAGGACTCATTCTCTACTAACACAGATTCAGAAAGTGATGAACCTCCAACAGAGGGACGACCGGCCTGAGGAAGAACACACACACACACACACACTGAGTTATCTTTATCAACCGCACCCGTGACCTCTGACCCCACACGCAGTGCTCACCTGACCCCAGTGCAGTGATGTCACTGGCCCAGTTCACACCGGACACGTCATAACGATTTCAAAACCATGCAATGCTCTTTACATTTCATAGAATAACACACACTATACAGACACTCCATATTTAACGGTATTAGATGATATGTGAATTGCATTTAATAGACTATACCTTCAATAAACATGTGCAATAGGTGTTTAATGCATGCGTTCATTGCATTTACACCGCTCTGACCAGCGTTTGCCGTTTTGAGCGCTTTAAAACAGTGAATCATTTTGACAAATCAATTAATTCAAAGTTTTGGCCCATCACTAGTTAAAACTACAGATCGAAGTTCTGCATTTCTTGCACAAGCACAGTATTTGTATTTATTTTCTAGTCATGTAGCCCCAGTTTCAGAAACAACATCATCTTTCCACTGCACAGACAGACAAGTCATATTAAAAACCCATCTTGCCACCGGTGAATTCCCCCTTTAAATGATTAAAGTCATCATGAAATAAAAATTTAGTTCTTATTTTTTTAATGTAATATTACAGCGTTTATTCTAAATGATTTACGGGTGCACATCATCATTGTGTTAATAATCTTGAATGAGAATCAGTTCCTCTTGCAGCATCTCTTCTTTCCTCTGATGATGTGGGCGGGGCTATAACCTGTCACTCACATGAGATCAGCCAATAGCAAACCACAACCATCCAATCAATTCCCCACAGACACGATCAAGCCCCGCCCACATCTGTTCTTGTTCCTGAAGCGTTTCACTTGATATACGACACAATAGAGGAGAAGAGACTAGCGCAACTTCCCTTTCATGAGGACTTTAAATAAATTGTGAATAAACAGTCAAAACTTTTCAACTGCACAAGTGGCAAAGCTGTTCTGGGCCTTGATTTACTGAACGCTTCAGCAAAAGCCCCTCCGGACTGGGCTCAGACTGGTCCTGATAACCGCAGCTGTGAACTGGGCCGGTGACGGAGTGCTAGTGCTAGTGATCGGCACATACCATAATGAGAGAGGGCAGAGAGCTGGAGCTGGACAGGCGGCCCGGGGCGATCCACTGTCACGCACAATACACAACAGCTCACATTAACCTTACGCTCGACACACACACACTCGTTCAGATAAACACACCCGGTGCCGTGAGAACGGGACCCCCTCTGATCATCTAATCACATCTACAGACACAGATCATTTAAAACCAGCTTCACAGAAATCAACAGGGTTAATTAGGGCTGGGCAACTAACAAAATAGTTTTTAAATTAATCGTTTTTGTTTTTAGGGTTAATTAAACTAACGTTGATCATATTCACGCCTTGCCGATTTAAACATTCATGATCTGAACAGGTTAAATAGTCCTGAATATAACAGTCACACTTGTGTTTCTGGCGGTCAGAAACGAGCGCATTGGAAATGAATGGAGAGTTTCCTCTAGTAGAAGCGTGTGGAACTGCAGCCGAACACACTCTCACTGAACGCTCGTTTACAGAGAGATCAAGATCATATTTGCAACACGACTTGTTTAGATTTATGGCTTTGATTTTCTCAGTTTTAGAGTGAAACGTGTTCTTGAAAGTATATATTTCATATAAAAATTTAAAATAGTATTTTTGTGTATTTTTCATAACAATAAACATAAAATTATTTATCTTTTTTTAAGTTCACTTTTTATTTTTTACATTTTCCACTTCAGCAATAATCTGCCGAGTGTCGTCTTTGAGAAGAGATCGAGCTTCAGTCTGTCGCTCTAAAGCGTTAGAGATTCTCCACAGTTTAAGATGGACATGTCATTTTCAGGTCTATGCTCAAAAACTGAATAAATGGATTTCATTGAAATAAAAAGAACGGTAATTTCTGACCGACACAAAACCTGAACATCACTGTTGATTTTATTTATATCTTTGTTCTATTGTATTTATTTATTTGTGCTATTGCATTTAGTTTGATTATTTGTTATTTTTTATAATTAATAGTTGTCTTTAATAATGTTAAATTTAGTAGTTTTAGCAGTGGTATCGAAACTGGAATCGAGAACTGTGTAATTTCACCTTATTACAATACAAGGAGACATGGGTCAAAACCAAAAACTATTATCAATTTATTGCTTTTTTGGGGTGTGTCTCTGTATCGATTCCCAGCGCTAGTGTTAATGTTGCCAAATTAATGAATTATGACATTAACTCGATGTCGCGTCAGTTACATGCGAAAACAGTGTCGACAAAATTTGCCAATAAAAACAGAAAAAAGCATGTAGAGCCATATATATGTGTTTTTGTTGAAGTTTGCAGTAATAAACTTGTGACACTGTGACGGTATTTGGCCATAAAAGGTTGGATTCGGGCGTTGCAATGGTGCAAAATTCAAAATGTTGCTAAATTCATCAATTACGACAATTTAATTCAGCTATAAGCAGCTCTAGGGAAGACAAGAGTCAGTATTCAACTCAATTCTGTTGATTCAATTCAGTTCTATAACAGTATTAAACGTTACAAAGTTCACCAATTATGAAACTAATTCAATTTCAACTATAAAGCAGCTCGTCAAAAGACAATGATGTGAGTATTCAGCTCAGAGTAAATGGTGTAGAAGTGTTGAACAGCAGCAGATAAACGAGGCTGAGTTCGGGTGGATTCAGCACTGAGGGAGAAACTCAGCCAATCAAACGTTTGAAGCAATAGTATGCCAGTACTTTAATTCAGGTTGCATGTTTACTTCATTAATCTCCTTCTGTAAAAATAGTGTTCCATTCCGAACAAAGCCCTGTATCACATTTCCCAGAATGCTTTGCAGCGGAGTTCAGGCTCACCTTGATACTACGGCGGATAGGAGGCTGAGGGAGGAGCAGAGAACACACACACACACACACACACAGACACACAGAGACGGGAAGAACAAGGCAAAGTTGAAGGGATTGCAAAGAGAAGTTGAGCAGGACAGAGAGGAACAGCATCAGGAGATTAATAACATCATCCCACGACCACAGAACACACGGGAATGAACATCAACATGAGGAACCTTCAGAACTGGTTTTAATCTAAGATTACTCACCATACTGTATGTGCAATGACCATTATCAGTGCTTTATCTGTCTATTAGGCCTCTTAAGCCCTATTCGCACTGGATTGGTGTTATCTGGTGATGTGTGCAGGTGTGTGGAGCCACTCATTAATGAGTGTGTGTTGCTGCGGCACAGTTGGAGTGTGTTCTCCACATTGAGTTCATCTGAAGGTCAGGTGTGTGTGAGATTGGTGACATGGGAAACATGATATACGACATGCGTGAGATCATGCAAACACTGGGTGCGCGAGTGTGTCAGTGAGACGGCGGTATGGAAGCTGCAGTTTTACTCCACAGAACAGAAAACCACCGAAACAAAAACCAAAACCAGTGAATGGAAGAAGCCACACGGCTTCAAATAAAGAGTGAAGGCAAACACTGTGTGCAATGCTGAGACTGAGAACCACGAAGTGTTGATGTACCTTCTTTGCTGTTGGAGTCTTTTCATCATGTTAGCAAACACACACACATAGACAGACACACACACACAAACGCACACGCACACCGACACACACACGCACGCACGCACACAAACGCACACACACACACACACAAACGCACAAACACAAACACACACACACACACAAAGAGTGCATTCGAATGAACATAAACCTTCATTTGCTTGTCTTCTATATGAATGCTCCAGACAGACTCAGACTCTGCTGAACGAAAGGCATTTCATTTTCACACATTCTCCATATTCTGTGGCCGCTAATCTCCATGAATCCAGCAGAGGAGAGCCGGCACACATTCACACAGGTATCAGCATTACCCACAACCAGGAACACAAATCTGCTCTGGGAATTTATGCTGAAATTAATTACTAGATGAAAAACGTATTTTGATTAAAGTTCCCAAGGCAACATTTCACATGTTCTTTAAGTTTAAGTTGAAGCGCTAAAATAACTAACCTAAAATAATATAACTAAAACTGAAACAAACTAAACCTAAAAATAATAATATCAAAATTAGAAAAAGATCAAATCAAAGCTGTAAAGCCAATTGAAATATATAAATGAATAACAGGGATTCATACCTGCTTAACAGCTTTGGGAGTCTCCTGGACATCTGTAATAGAGCAGAGAAAAGCACACGGATCATCATGTGTTCCGGCTAAAGCACACGGATCATCATGTGTTCCGGCTAAAGCACACGCATCATCATGTGTTCCGGCTAAAGCACACGCATCATCATGTGTTCCGGCTAAAGCACACGCGTCATCATGTGTTCTGGCTAAAGCACACGCGTCATCATGTGTTCTGGCTAAAGCACACGGATCATCATGTTTTCCGGCTAAAGCACACGCGTCATCATGTGTTCCGGCTAAAGCACACGCGTCATCATGTGTTCCGGCTAAAGCACACGCATCATCATGTGTTCCGGCTAAAGCACACGCGTCATCATGTGTTCTGGCTAAAGCACACGCGTCATCATGTGTTCCGGCTAAAGCACACGCGTCATCATGTGTTCCGGCTAAAGCACACGCGTCATCATGTGTTCCGGCTAAAGCACACGCGTCATCATGTGTTCCGGCTAAAGCACACGCATCATCATGTGTTCCGGCTAAAGCACACGCGTCATCATGTGTTCTGGCTAAAGCACACGCATCATCATGTGTTCCGGCTAAAGCACACGCGTCATCATGTGTTCCGGCTAAAGCACACGCATCATCATGTGTTCTGGCTAAAGCACACGCATCATCATGTGTTCCGGCTAAAGCACACGCGTCATCATGTGTTCTGGCTAAAGCACACGCATCATCATGTGTTCCGGCTAAAGCACACGCGTCATCATGTGTTCCGGCTAAAGCACACGCGTCATCATGTGTTCCGGCTAAAGCACACGCGTCATCATGTGTTCCGGCTAAAGCACACGCATCATCATGTGTTCCGGCTAAAGCACACGCGTCATCATGTGTTCTGGCTAAAGCACACGCATCATCATGTGTTCCGGCTAAAGCACACGCATCATCATGTGTTCCGGCTAAAGCACACGCATCATCATGTGTTCCGGCTAAAGCACACGCGTCATCATGTGTTCTGGCTAAAGCACACGCGTCATCATGTGTTCTGGCTAAAGCACACGGATCATCATGTGTTCCGGCTAAAGCACACGCATCATCATGTGTTCCGGCTAAAGCACACGCGTCATCATGTGTTCCGGCTAAAGCACACGGATCATCATGTGTTCTGGCTAAAGCACACGCTTCATCATGTGTTCCGGCTAAAGCACGCGCATCATCATGTGTTCTGGCTAAAGCACACGCATCATCATGTGTTCAGGCTAAAGCACACGCGTCATCATGTGTTCTGGCTAAAGCACACGGATCATCATGTGTTCCGGCTAAAGCACACGCATCATCATGTGTTCCGGCTAAAGCACACGCGTCATCATGTGTTCCGGCTAAAGCACACGGATCATCATGTGTTCTGGCTAAAGCACACGCTTCATCATGTGTTCCGGCTAAAGCACGCGCATCATCATGTGTTCTGGCTAAAGCACACGCATCATCATGTGTTCAGGCTAAAGCACACGCGTCATCATGTGTTCTGGCTAAAGCACACGGATCATCATGTGTTCTGGCTAAAGCACACGCTTCATCATGTGTTCCGGCTAAAGCACGCGCATCATCATGTGTTCTGGCTAAAGCACACGCATCATCATGTGTTCCGGCTAAAGCACACGCGTCATCATGTGTTCTGGCTAAAGCACAGGCATCATCATGTGTTCTGGCTAAAGCACACGTGTGATCATGTGTTCTGGCTAAAGCACACGCGTCATCATGTGTTCTGGCTAAAGCACACGGATCATCATGTGTTCCGGCTAAAGCACACGGATCATCATGTGTTCCGGCTAAAGCACACGGATCATCATGTGTTCTGGCTAAAGCACACGCTTCATCATGTGTTCCGGCTAAAGCACGCGCATCATCATGTGTTCTGGCTAAAGCACACGCATCATCATGTGTTCCGGCTAAAGCACACGCATCATCATGTGTTCCGGCTAAAGCACACGCATCATCATGTGTTCTGGCTAAAGCACACGGATCATCATGTGTTCCGGCTAAAGCACACGCATCATCATGTGTTCCGGCTAAAGCACACGCGTCATCATGTGTTCTGGCTAAAGCACACGCGTCATCATGTGTTCTGGCTAAAGCACACGGATCATCATGTGTTCTGGCTAAAGCACACGGATCATCATGTTTTCCGGCTAAAGCACACGCATCATCATGTGTTCCGGCTAAAGCACACGCGTCATCATGTGTTCTGGCTAAAGCACACGCATCATCATGTGTTCCGGCTAAAGCACACGCGTCATCATGTGTTCTGGCTAAAGCACACGCGTCATCATGTGTTCTGGCTAAAGCACACGCATCATCATGTTTTCCGGCTAAAGCACACGCGTCATCATGTGTTCAGGCTAAAGCACACGCATCATCATGTGTTCCGGCTAAAGCACACGCGTCATCATGTGTTCCGGCTAAAGCACACGCATCATCATGTGTTCAGGCTAAAGCACACGCGTCATCATGTGTTCTGGCTAAAGCACGCGCATCATCATGTGTTCCGGCTAAAGCACACGCGTCATCATGTGTTCTGGCTAAAGCACACGCGTCATCATGTGTTCAGGCTAAAGCACACGCGTCATCATGTGTTCCGGCTAAAGCACACGCGTCATCATGTGTTCTGGCTAAAGCACACGCGTCATCATGTGTTCTGGCTAAAGCACACGGATCATCATGTGTTCCGGCTAAAGCACACGGATCATCATGTTTTCCGGCTAAAGCACACGCATCATCATGTGTTCCGGCTAAAGCACACGCGTCATCATGTGTTCTGGCTAAAGCACACGCATCATCATGTGTTCCGGCTAAAGCACACGCGTCATCATGTGTTCTGGCTAAAGCACACGCGTCATCATGTGTTCTGGCTAAAGCACACGCATCATCATGTTTTCCGGCTAAAGCACACGCGTCATCATGTGTTCAGGCTAAAGCACACGCGTCATCATGTGTTCCGGCTAAAGCACGCGCATCATCATGTGTTCCGGCTAAAGCACACGCGTCATCATGTGTTCCGGCTAAAGCACACGCATCATCATGTGTTCAGGCTAAAGCACACGCGTCATCATGTGTTCCGGCTAAAGCACAAGCGTCATCATGTGTTCCGGCTAAAGCACACGCATCATCATGTGTTCTGGCTAAAGCACACGCGTCATCATGTGTTCCGGCTAAAGCACACGGATCATCATGTGTTCCGGCTAAAGCACACGCGTCATCATGTGTTCCGGCTAAAGCACACGCATCATCATGTGTTCAGGCTAAAGCACACGCGTCATCATGTGTTCTGGCTAAAGCACGCGCATCATCATGTGTTCCGGCTAAAGCACACGCGTCATCATGTGTTCTGGCTAAAGCACACGCGTCATCATGTGTTCAGGCTAAAGCACACGCGTCATCATGTGTTCCGGCTAAAGCACACGCGTCATCATGTGTTCCGGCTAAAGCACACGCGTCATCATGTGTTCCGGCTAAAGCACACGCGTCATCATGTGTTCCGGCTAAAGCACACGCGTCATCATGTGTTCCGGCTAAAGCACACGCATCATCATGTGTTCAGGCTAAAGCACACGCGTCATCATGTGTTCTGGCTAAAGCACGCGCATCATCATGTGTTCAGGCTAAAGCACACGCGTCATCATGTGTTCTGGCTAAAGCACACGCGTCATCATGTGTTCCGGCTAAAGCACACGCGTCATCATGTGTTCCGGCTAAAGCACACGCGTCATCATGTGTTCCGGCTAAAGCACACGCATCATCATGTGTTCAGGCTAAAGCACACGCGTCATCATGTGTTCTGGCTAAAGCACACGCATCATCATGTGTTCAGGCTAAAGCACACGCGTCATCATGTGTTCAGGCTAAAGCACACGCGTCATCATGTGTTCTGGCTAAAGCACACGCATCATCATGTGTTCCGGCTAAAGCACACGCATCATCATGTGTTCCGGCTAAAGCACACGCGTCATCATGTGTTCCGGCTAAAGCACACGCGTCATCATGTGTTCCGGCTAAAGCACACGCGTCATCATGTGTTCCGGCTAAAGCACACGCATCATCATGTGTTCCGGCTAAAGCACACGCGTCATCATGTGTTCCGGCTAAAGCACACGCATCATCATGTGTTCCGGCTAAAGCACACGCGTCATCATGTGTTCCGGCTAAAGCACACGCGTCATCATGTGTTCCGGCTAAAGCACACGCGTCATCATGTGTTCCGGCTAAAGCACACGCGTCATCATGTGTTCCGGCTAAAGCACACGCGTCATCATGTGTTCCGGCTAAAGCACACGCATCATCATGTGTTCCGGCTAAAGCACACGCGTCATCATGTGTTCCGGCTAAAGCACACGCGTCATCATGTGTTCCGGCTAAAGCACACGCATCATCATGTGTTCTGGCTAAAGCACACGCATCATCATGTGTTCCGGCTAAAGCACACGCGTCATCATGTGTTCCGGCTAAAGCACACGCATCATCATGTGTTCTGGCTAAAGCACACGCGTCATCATGTGTTCCGGCTAAAGCACACGCATCATCATGTGTTCAGGCTAAAGCACACGCGTCATCATGTGTTCCGGCTAAAGCACACGCATCATCATGTGTTCAGGCTAAAGCACACGCGTCATCATGTGTTCCGGCTAAAGCACAGGCATCATCATGTGTTCCGGCTAAAGCACACGCATCATCATGTGTTCCGGCTAAAGCACACGCGTCATCATGTGTTCTGGCTAAAGCACACGCATCATCATGTGTTCCGGCTAAAGCACACGCGTCATCATGTGTTCTGGCTAAAGCACACGCATCATCATGTGTTCCGGCTAAAGCACACGCATCATCATGTGTTCCGGCTAAAGCACACGCATCATCATGTGTTCCGGCTAAAGCACACGCGTCATCATGTGTTCCGGCTAAAGCACACGCATCATCATGTGTTCCGGCTAAAGCACACGCGTCATCATGTGTTCCGGCTAAAGCACACGCGTCATCATGTGTTCCGGCTAAAGCACACGCGTCATCATGTGTTCCGGCTAAAGCACACGCATCATCATGTGTTCCGGCTAAAGCACACGCGTCATCATGTGTTCCGGCTAAAGCACACGCGTCATCATGTGTTCCGGCTAAAGCACACGCATCATCATGTGTTCCGGCTAAAGCACACGCATCATCATGTGTTCTGGCTAAAGCACACGCGTCATCATGTGTTCCGGCTAAAGCACACGCATCATCATGTGTTCCGGCTAAAGCACACGCATCATCATGTGTTCCGGCTAAAGCACAAGCGTCATCATGTGTTCCGGCTAAAGCACACGCGTCATCATGTGTTCCGGCTAAAGCACACGCGCTTCATCATGTGTTCTGGCTAAAGCACACGTGTGATCATGTGTTCTGGCTAAAGCACGCGCGTCATCATGTGTTCCGGCTAAAGCACACGCGTCATCATGTGTTCCGGCTAAAGCACACGCGTCATCATGTGTTCCGGCTAAAGCACACGCGTCATCATGTGTTCTGGCTAAAGCACACGCGTCATCATGTGTTCTGGCTAAAGCACACGCGTCATCATGTGTTCCGGCTAAAGCATACGCGTCATCATGTGTTCCGGCTAAAGCACACGCGTCATCATGTGTTCTGGCTAAAGCACACGCGTCATCATGTGTTCTGGCTAAAGCACACGGATCATCATGTGTTCTGGCTAAAGCACACGCGTCATCATGTGTTCCGGCTAAAGCACGCGCGTCATCATGTGTTCCGGCTAAAGCACACGCATC